AGTTACTATTTTATTACTAATTTATTTCAAAAGCATCCTCTTTTCTAAATCATGTGGCCTATCATTAAATGTTGTTAGATTGTACAATGCTTATTTTAAAAGGCCAGCATCAGTTACTAGCAGAAGCAATTCTTTTGACTCATTCACTTAGAATGCAGACTAGAATTTAAGAATTGCCTGTTTATTCAGTTCCTCTTCGACAACAAAACTTGAGTTATTGGATTGCAAATCTTTCTGAAATGGCAGCCTTCTAATGTAATGCAGTTACTGCTGGATTGGGATACAGTCATTCTATATAAATTTGCAAAGGTTTCTCTAACGAATATACTCCTATTTGTGTTTACAGAATAAGTTTTTTCTTTCTTTTTTGCTTTATCCTCTTCCCGCCTTAGATTAAGTATTTCCTATTCACCTTAGTAATTAGAGCAGAAGGATGCGGTGCCTCATTATCAAGTTTGTATCCCTGGTTTCTGCAGAATGGCTACCATGCCGGCTATTTTTCATAGCTGTCTGCTTTTGCTTATATTGGACCATTGTTAACCCTAAATGATCCTGACATTCAATTCTTTCGCAGACAATTGGGTCCAGCCGGCAGACTTAGTGTGCTAGTCGATAGAGACTCTCAATTGTCATGTTCCTCTGTGTTCTCATTAGCCCTTGTAGGATTGTGATCCATCCCCTTTTGCCTTTTAAATTAAGTGATGCTACAAGTATCCTGCTTCTGACCTGTGATGTCTGTTCCTTAAAAGACTTCAAGGCAAATCCCAAATGCAACAAGATGTTGTGAGAAATGGCAAGGACAAATCTATCTCCCCCTTCACTTCTTGTCTGTATGCTCTTCTCTGTGCCTTTGCTAAAACATTTATACTTGTTACAGCTGGCAGCTCTTAAGCAAAATCCAGACAGACTTTAGAAACCATCTTGTCATTTTTGTTTTGCTTTTTAATGGTGGGGTGTATATATGTAAGGAAGAAAGGGAGCAATCTGATCCTTAACTTATGGGAGCTCTCAAAAGTATACATACGGCATGAATTCTAGGCTAGTCTGTGTAATAGGCTGTACCTAGGCTATTACACACTTCTGGTATTTCAAAAGAACTCATGCCTTACAATTTCCTTGGGCACTCTGAATGCATCTTTTTAAAACTCTAGTGAGACTAGTCTTAGAACACTTTTGTGTTTCATGTCAGTCAGACTAGTACCCAATAACTATACAAATCAGTGCGCATTTAGTTAAGAGGTAAAGCCTAACATACTGTTTGGTTATCCCCAGGTTAGCATGCAAAGGATTGCAGTCTATATCACAAAATGCCAAGTTCATTTTTTCTTAACAGATTTTTGTAATTCCATCAGAAGACAAAGTCTGTTTGCTTGGGAATATGGCACCATTTCTTTTTATTTTGCTTTGTAGATGTTCTAGACCTACAAGGGATAAAGGAAACATGCCAATTCCCATTCATGGACTTTGATATGAGTTCTATTGAGAGCGGGGAGGATTTTCAGTGGCAGCCAGGAAATTATTTAAGTATTTAGAATAGAAGCTCTATTGATAAGGGTAAAGTTAAGGTTGATAAAGCACAAAGGCGCCAATCTTGCAAACCTCTGAATTATCCCAAGACCATAAGCAGATACTCAGTTGCACTTCAAGCTTCAACGGGAAAGGGGGACAGAACAGTCAGACTGATGTCTACATATTAAATTTACTCAATTCCACTATGTCATGCGCTCGCTCACTCTCTCTCACACACACACAAGTTCAGAATGGTCCTTTGTAATCATATTTCTATGGTGAAAAAAGAATTTTAGTGCAGAAATGAGCATTCCTTCAGATTTCCCCAAAGTCGATCCACCATTGCCCCTTACAGCTGTTTTTTAAAATATTATCTTTTTTCTGAAAAGGTAATGAAGGGTTTTATTTAGAGTTTGTTGGTTAAATTACCTAAGGGCAGAAAAATAACAACATTGTTTTTGTAATACGCTAATATATATTCACTTTTGGGGGACAGAATTTTACCAACAGGATTTTAATACCCACTTAAGGCACTGAAAATTATTTACATGCTGTTTTGTTCAACATATTTCTGTATTCTTAACATAACAAAAGAAGGCAGATAGCTATTAATTCTGCACCTAAAGAATGCAAAGAAGAGAAAAAATCTAACTCCCAATGGTTGGGAGTAAGGATGAACACAAACAAACCCCACAGCTTTGTTATAATGACAATAGCAACACTACCATTTTTAAGAGCCTGTTTTCAGTTTCATAAATCTTCATGTTGGGTCTTTTATCTGATTTCTCTTGTTAATTGTTATTTGGAACAGTGCCTTACAAGAGACTGCTGCTCCCTCTCTGCTCACAATTTAGAAAGTGTGGCCAAGCAGCTCTATTCAGCTTCAGAGCAGTGAACATAATTGGAGCCCCAGTTTGCAAGCATGAAAGGAGGCGCTGTGCCTTTGATTACAGCTACCACATCACTATGGTGTTTATGTGAAGTGTTATTTCTATCTTCAATGTCCACAATGTCAAATTAATAGTTAACAATGCTTTCCAAACAAGCATCAATAGTTTGGCTTTTTCTCAGCTCTCTCCAGTATGTAGCATGGTGTCATGTTTTGACTTGCTACTTTCACATGTAAAGATAACAATAGATTTTGTGTAAGGGGGGGAAAAATACAGGAAAATGAACATCCCCAAACAGCAGCAGGTAGAATGTGGATATGGCAGAAAGCAAGAATATTATGTAATCAAAGGAGATAGAAATACAGAATTTTTGCTATGCAGTGAGGGAACAAGTCCTTGTGACTTCAGTCCTCTAAACTTTAAGTGAAAAAATATCAGTTCCTGTTCTTTTACAATCATCTGGTATTCTAGAAAATTTATGTTGTGTGCATATACAGGCATCTAGGAATTTCTGAATGAAAACCATCACCCAGATCTATTCTGTTATAGGTTCCAGCCTAGTTTTTCCACTGAAACAGCTTCAGTTGTCCTGGTAGATGGCCTACACTGGAAAATGGACGAGATGGTGCAATGCTGCTGATTACTGTGGACCTCTCAGCATCTTTGGAAGCACCAAAGATATGAGGAGGAGCTGGGAAACTGTATCAATGGCACTGGCACTGCTTTATGGCAACTCTGATCCACCACTGTGATGCAAGGTTGTTCCTTAACAGAGGCACCATCCTACCCTGTGGCCTTTGGCTTGCTCATGGTGCCCCAAGAGTCTCACTTGCTTCACATGCCCTTCAACACCCAACAACTGGAAAAGGTCACATCAGAGGCTTGCATTTAAGTGTTCCAAGTATTGTTGACCACACAATACAAACATGAAAGGAGGCTGGGCCTTTGATTACACTTCTAATGTTTGTCCTCCAGTCCCTGGAATACTGCAGGAACTCTGGACCATTCTGACCCAGATGTGGGCAAGCAAACGGCAACTTAATCCAGACAAATGAAAGTTCTGTTGACTGGGGATTCGGCAATAACACCTGGATACATGTGTTCTAATCCTTTTTCTAGCTTTGGCTGGTTCAGCAACAACACCTTAGCTGGAGATCTGACCAGTTACTAATGCCACACTGGGCAACGTACAATATTCTCTTATACAGAATGTAATATGTTATTTTTAAAGGATGAAACTCAAGTTTTAGGTAAATAATTATATTTACGTATTCCTATGGCAGGTAAACACACAAGAATGATCCTATAATATTTGAAAATTAATTTTTTGCATCTGTGTGTTATTTTACACATCAGTGCTTGACATGGTTATTCTCACTTCTTTTTTTTAATGGAATCAAATGGCATGACTACTAAAAAAAGGGGTTTCTAATTTTATGTTATTTATTGCTTCAGAAAGGAAGAGGGCAGACTTTCCTAACACAGTATAAATAACCTGGACACCCACAGTCAACATATACACATAAACAGGACATAAAGAAAGTTACCGGAAATTAATCACAAAGTAAATCATTCACAACTTAATGCTTTATAAGTTAAAAACAGTTACACCTGAGCATAGACATAAATTACAGAAAACAGAATCCCATCCACAAACTGATGTCAAACAGTTGTTTAAAAAAAGTAACAAATTTGGCAACGCTGCTTTCAGTGCAGCAAAACACAATTTTGTAAAATCATCTGTACTGTTAACATATGGAAAGTTTTCATTTTAAAAAATAACATGCAAAAAGTTATTGCTTGCATCCCTTCTTGCTGGTGGCTGCGATTTCCTCATACAGGGATTCAGATTCATCATAATTCATTCCCATCTGCAAGTGCACATTACTAAGTGAAATTGTAGAAAAGCAAGTTGCAAGTATGTGTGTGTCAAGAAAAAAATTATTGGGCTTGTTTTATAAGCTGAAACCCCTTCAGACTTATCACTGCACACAATGCCTTTTAGGTACCCAAAACAGTCATGTTTCTGACCCAGTTAAATTGCTTTCCTTTAAATTACAGACTACAATCAACCCAAGAAGATTTGCCAGCACTTTGAACAATGTATTCTTAAACCTTTTTCATATATCTGACTTGAATAAGTCCAACAAAAACCTCAATATTTTGTTAGTTTAGATAGGACGATATTTCCAAGATATTTCAACAGGCAAAAAATACTTAAGTCACAGTTGATGCTGTAACTCATTCTGAGTTTGAGTGGAACATTCAGAACATATTCTTCCCCTTGGATTCTCTGTCTCTCCAGTCAATGTTAAATCTTAACTGGTTTGGGGGAAATGTATGTATTTAACAATACATCATGTTCCCAACCAAGTGAGATCACCATCACAAAATAAATATGACTCCATACTTTTCCACATTATTTTTATCCCTCAAATGAGCAACCAAAAATACAATGCAGGCTATGCATTAGGAGAGTCCAGCTGGAAGGCATTATTTGACATTCCAATTCCACTTGCAGTGTTGACAGCCCCGTTCCTCTTCTTCTTCATGTTTTTCTTAGGTTCACCCTCAACATCATTAGATGAAAAGTTGTCAAGTGTAATTAGACCTGCCTTGTACTCTTCTGTATCCATGTGTATGCCTTTCTTCCTTATTTTCTTCTTTGTGCGTCTATGAGAAAAGTACGTAAAAGACTGTATTAGAGATTACTCAGCCTATCTATCCAGTTTCCTTTCCAATAGGTGTTTTCTAAAATTTGAGTATGCAGCTCAGAGGTGATCTCATGATGCTGTGACAAACTAATAAAGAAGGAAAACTATGCCTAACGGAAAGATGATCCTCAAAAAAAAGTTGTCTGAAGTGAATTAATACTTTGAACTAGGTCTCTTTCCTGGCCATTCTCTCAGGAATCCCCAGAGGGAGACACAAGAGTTCTTAGATTTTCAAGGAAACATATAAAGCAGGAATAGGTAGCCTTTTTAAAGAATGCCTGTGGGCTTACCTCCAAAGGGGGCACTCGATCAATGGGTACTGTCAGAGCAAACTGAGTGTGCCAAAATGCAGGTGGACAGAACCAAACATGCTTACAGCTGATTTTAACCCCACTCAGGACAGGACAAGGCATCTCTATGTCTACCCAGAAGCAAGCCGGACTGAACCACTTGGCAGTGCTTCTAACCAGCACCCCAAACACTAAGCCTCTGCATGTCTATGCAGAAGCAAGCCTGAGCAGCATATCAACTCATGACAAGTAGGAGAACTTTCGTATGTCTTCTCATAAGCAAGCAGGGCAAGCCTCAGAAGCAAGCAGGACTGAGTCAGCACCCCCATCTCTGTCCTCTGATCAGCACCTGAGGGTGAGAACTGCAGACCAGTCCTCATATTAAATGAACTGTTGATGAAAGATAAAAGCATTTCTCATACTTGCTAGGGGATGTAGTAGAACCTGTGGGAAGAAGATACAAGATTCCCCCTTGTTTGGGGAAGTAGCAGAGGCTTCGGAAGAAGGTGGCTGGCCTCACCGGGACATCCGGCTCTGGTCATTATATAAAGTTTTTACAGATCCAAGCAATTGTCTAACAAACCTCATAGTTAATTGGCCAGTTACAAATACTGCAACTCAACCTTGGCTGTACAGTCATGAAAGTGTGCAGGTCCTAGTTTTCCCAGCTGTAAGTGGCAAGGGACGAGGACAGAAAACTCGAAGGCAAGCAACCAATGAGCACATCAAGAAATAAGCTCATTAATTCAGGAGATGCTGAAATGGCCAGTGACTATGCTTGGAATGTTGAGAGCAGTAGTTTAATACACCTGGAAGGAACCATGTTGGGGAAAGCTGTTCATCCTTCAATGGAATGGTTGGCTACATTTTTTCTACTTGGCTATTGCATCTGACTGAGCTTGGAATTCATTAGGCCTAAACTCATAACTTTGATCTTTTGTTGTGAAGAGCATTTCCCTGATCTTGCAACCAGATTCCATATTCTAGAATCTATACAATGTATCTATCAAAACTGAACATCAACTTGGACCTCATATTGGAAGTTCATCAAAAGAAAGGTAAAATAACATCATGCTTGCTTAGCACCTTAAAATGTCATGATACATTGAACAGAATACATGGAGGACCTTTAGAATACTAGTTATTTGTAGTGCAATCAATGGTGTGAATTTTGGTTTTTCCTTCATGACTGATCTGAACCATTTTAGAATGCTTTTATACCAATGGAGTAAAACCGAACAAGCTGCTTTGCCCTGCTGGTTGCTTACTGTGTAGGCAGGTGGCCTGTGTCATTCCCTGAAATAAATCTTTGGTCTCCTGATTTGCTGATGACTGCTGACATCTGCAAAGGGGAAAATGTGATCAGTAAGGGAGAAAAAAAGAGAGAGAAAATGGGGTCAACACGTGTACGATGAAAAACCCACGGGCTTCCTGAATGAGGAGAGAATATACCTCGCTTCATACAGAAGATCTGTCACCCATGAAATTCTCACCATATGTGGTTAAAAAAGGAGGAAACAGTTCCACAGCTTTAAAAACCCCTTGAAATGTTCAGGTGTGTTTAGAAAAAACAAACAAATGCAGAGCTATGAATCCATGCTTGAGTGAATTTTCAATAGGGATTACATCTGTCTTAAAATGTTATTGACAATGAAATAACGTCATCTTTTATTTTGAGGGCAGAGCCATCAAAATCCAAAAATTAGTCTTGCTAGCACTAAATATTTAAAAATATGAATTATGCATAGTGTCATAATCTTTTATAAAAGGAAATGCATCTATTTTCAGAAATTATACAACAAATTACCAAACACCAGTTACCAATTCCACTGTGCTGTCTCTGTCTCTCTCTCTCAACCTCATAGCATGGTGAAATTAATTCAGCATTTCTTAGTGCTTTGATGGAGATGAGATATGGGTCAATATTGCCTTATTGATATAACTAGATCTAGACTCTATGCCTAACCTAGGAACACAGCATCTGTCTGTGTGATCCTGCTTGAAAACTGTGCACATTTCTGGAGGTTCCAGAATACAGTGGGTGGACCAAGGTCTCCTTGGTCCACCCACTGTTGTTTAGCTTTGGACAGGCTGTGAAGACAACTTTATTCTAGCTTGCCATCTTTTTAACAGAGCAACTTTACATTCTTTGTCAAGAGGAAGAAGAGATCTGCGGTGGTTAGTCTGCTGCAATGATAGCTCTGCCAGCTCAGGGCAGAAAGGTGGTGGGGAGTGTGTGTTTTTTTCTTTTCTGTTTTCACAATTAGTTTTTGGTTGTTCCCCACATCACTGACCACAATGAGAAGGAATTAATGCCAGCTCCAGGACTGGCATAATTCTGTGCCTAATATTTGGGAGGGTCATGGAAATGAAGCAGTCGGGATCCTGCAGATCCAAGCACACTCTGAACATGCCCACTGAGTACCCTCTTTGGGTAAGAGAACTGCTGCCACTTCACCTGCATGCTGAGGTGGAGTAGCTACCAACCTGCAGGCAGGCCTCCCTCTCTCAGTGGAGCAGCACCTGTGCCACATCCTACAGCTTCTCAAGCAGTCTTGGGGAGGGCAGGGGGGAAGAGGATTCTGAGAATTGCTCTCTGAAGCACTTTATTATTTTGCTACAGTCCCTTCTGGTTTCTGCAAAGTTTTCTTTAGATTGCTCTCTAGCTGTGTTAATAATATTGCTTTATTATTTATTGTAAGTGCTCAAACTTTTGTTTAAAAGGTAGGGGAATAGCTCCTCTCTTTAAAACCAAAGTAAGACAAGTGGTTTTATATTTTATTAGTCTATGTAGAAGAAGAGATGTAAGCGTGGTTTAGGGAATATAGTTCTGCATATAGGTGGTGTGGGTTTAAGCCCAGTAAGAAAGCATCAACATAGGGCCTTTATGTACTAAATACTTTCACCTTTACTGAACATTTTCTGATATGGGATAGTGTAAATACAACTGTAAAATAATTCCTCTCAGCTGTTTGTTAGAAGAAAGGCTTCCTATCTTATGAAATATACAAGAAATATTCAAAAAATAACAGCAGAACCACCCACACTGTATATCAAAAGTGGCACTATTTTCTGAAACAACTTTGCCGTGTGCATGCACGCGCACACACACACAGAGTCCACAATCCAGAAAAGCCTCCTTTTGGTGTACCCAAGAGACTTGAATGTGTTTTCTCAAACATCAGCTTCTCATGTGATATTTCAACTGCTTCGCAAACTCCTCCAGGTTTCAAAAACACCCACAGGTTTCAACGTTGCCATATGGTGAGGAGGTAGGGTAGCCACTAAAATCCACGACTTCTGCTGGGCATGTGGAGTTCATTGTAAAAATCTATACATTGTGGCCGCAATCTATTCATGCCCAGCCATGTCAGTAATTCGGTCTAGCCAGTATAAAATAAACTGCTATGCATTTGGTTGAAGATATAGTCAGAATTCAGATATTAACTGCTAGCATACTTCTTTTTTCAAAGAGAATAATATAGTGCCAGTTAGAGCACACTTTAAAAATACAGACACAACACACGTAAAATGAAAACATTCTGAATTCAACTGTACTGCCAACGACAAAGTTAATGAGCGAACAACTGTGGTGGGTACAATAATTGTTTTCCATCTTATAAACTGGCTCCAATCACTGAGGCTGTACCAGTTAAGACTATCTGAATTTGGTCCAGCATGAAAGACCTGGTCAGTTTCTAACAGCTGTTTGGAGGAAGGCCAACTGAGATTTGTGTGCTCTGACATTACTGTGCTATTTTAATATTAATTTATATTTGCCACCTTGAGTGATGCCCAGTCATCACTCAGACTGGATAAAACATTCTAATAAAGCAACTCATGTCACTAGCCCAGCCTGGAGGTTCCTGCACTCTGCTCCTGGAAGGCTTCCTTTCCTCAATATATGAGACTGCCCTGGCTGGACCTGAAGCCCTGGGTATGGTGCACCAGAGGGCCAGCTCCCCATCGCCACTCCTGAGCATCCCCACTGCCCCTGCTTTTCTAATGGGAGCATCTATTCAGAGGATAACATAGATCACTTCTGCATGCAGGTGTTCGTCCTGCCCTACAATGTATCTGAATGCAGGAAAAAGTCTGGGTTCAAAGGAATGGACACTGAGGGCCAAACTATACACAATATTAATTGCTTGGATGCAATTAATGTGCATGTTCTTAATTACTTAAGTATCAGTTGAACAGAACTGAACCCAGAGTGTGGGAGTTCAAGTTCCAATTTGTGTGAGCATCTATAGAAGATAATGCAGCCAATTATGGACAAACATGTCAAACTTTGAGTAAGTCTACAATGAGAGAAAACGTCCTCATTTATTACTAGTTTTGGACATGTTCACTGAATTATTGAGCCACATAATTTGTAACAATAATTTTATCTCAGTTAAGCTTCATCTCTTTTAATGCTTCCCAACATACACAGAGAACATTTTGTGGGTATTGTAACCGGCAGGCTGGTACTGCCTGTAAATGGTTGAACCTGAGCAAGCCCATGCATTAATATGATCACCTAATATATGTACTTGGGAATTAAATGGTTACTACAGGAAATGGAAAATGCAATCCCATCTTTCACAAGTATCACACATGCTTTTCCTCCTAAATAGCTACCCCAGGCATTGTTGGTGATGCTGCCTCCACCAGGTCATTGGTCAGAAGAGGGGCAGAATCTTCTTCTAATTCTGGAGACAGCTGTCCTTCATATTGCGCTGAAAATAAATCACGTTATTAAAGCTTGCAATGCCACTCAAGAGATCACTTAGTTCTTGTCACAGTTCCTCATTGCCCAGTTCAGTGCATTTTTGAAAGTGCCATTCAATATATCCAATTTCAGTACTGATTTTTGGAGCACTCTCACAATGGTGCCAAACAATATAGTAAGAAAAGTCTACCCACTCTGCCTATCTCCATGATCAAAGCAAGGGATAGAAAGGGACATTGCAAACTGTGGAGAAAACGCATGGCTCTCAGCTGTTTGCTTCCTATACACTTCCAGTTGCATGCATCCTTTAAGAGGTTCATCTCATGAGCTATCAGACATCTAGAAGTGAATGAACAGCACTTACTAGAAATCATAAATGGACATTTCCCAGATGGACTTTTGCATAGGGTGCCCTCTGCTGTGGAGACTAGTTCTAACATCAGTAAGCAGTTCTCAGTAGTCATACGAACACTTTGCAACCAAAGAGAAATTGCCAGATCTATAGCACTTGTGGAGAGACATTTAAGTCTGTATTGCCCTAGTGCTTAATTTGTTCCCTCAATCTTCATGAAGGACGTTGATAAAGAAATCAACTAAGTCCCCTGACAGTAGGCACAATTAAAGCAGAATACTATCTAGGACAAATATGGAAATCACATAGCTCCTGACCAGAAGTCTCACAGGTGCCGTACATATTCAGGCAGGCAGTGAGCTGCTCTTAGGATTATTTTTGATGATGCACAAACAGTCAACTACTTTAAAACACCTTTACAAGAAAATAAGAGAATGGTTAAACAGTGGAGCCCATGATGAAAAGCTTTGATGCTGCCAACTTCAAAGTGGCTTCTTAGCATTATTTTTGCTACTGCAGTGAGCTGCAGATCACCATTTCTATTTCACACTAGAAGCACTGTTTCTCTTTAGTTCACTCAAGCAAGTTTTTAGTCCTTATAAATACAAAGAGACTTGAAGGTGTATGGTTAAACTCTTCCAAGAGAATAGAGGTTAAATAGGATTTTTAGCAACAAGTCTTTGTGGCCTTGCATGGTCTTTTGCTCCTCTCCTAGATATAAAGGTAGAATAAATAAAAGACAACAGGAGCACATTTAAATGAAATGTTACGATGCAAGACACAGGCTTCCCTTGCTTTTAGATAATGCCCATATTTTGTCTTTGGCACAGTCTTAGTGAGGTCACTTCTTCCTATGAGAGAGAAAAGAGGAGGCTGCTTCTTCAGATGGTGACTTATCAGCACATGCTTATTTTGAATGAGCAGCACCTTCATTTAAAACACTGGGATCAAGAAGGGTGGGAAATCTTTGCCTTGAAACCTCGGGAAGTTGCTGTCAGCCAGAACAAAGCAATATTAGAGTGACTAATTTCAGCCAGTTTTATCTGGCTCAGGGTATGGCATTCATGTTTCTGGGGCAATATAATCATTCGCATGCTATTTACACTGTTAAACCTACTTTAATGATTCTGGCATACAACATGTTTACTGCACACATGGACACACTTAGGCACAGAAAGGCTTATCTTAGATAATCAGTTAAGTCCCCACAGGCATAACACACCAGGAAGACACATCATACGTACTTTTACCAACCACATAATTGGCTGGAAAATAGCCTTGCTGTCCATTCGCCAGGCTGCCAAACCACCAGTTATCATTATCTTTGTATAACACTTGGATAATGTCACTGCAATGGATGGTTAGCTCATCTGATCGATGCGCTGTGTAGTCATAAAGAGCCACTACCTAAACGAGAGATAAGACCACCACAGCTTTTATCATGACTGCACCACAGAGAGAAAAGACCAACATTCATTTCCTCTAATAGAAATGTTGCTGTAACCAAAGCTGCACTTGGGTGAAAGCTGAGGCTGTCTCAGGTTTGGGGCTGGTGGGAACGCAGCAGGAGAAGCAAGATAAAGGGGTTGTGGCATTCCAGAAGGGGTTAAGAACATTCAAAGGTACCAAGATTAGCGTAAAAAAACAACAACAGCAGCGGCTGTCAGCTTTATAAGCAAATAAATTTTGATGCATTTACTTCCCTAGAATTTTGCTAGTGCTTTCAGAGTTCATTTTATTTCTAAGCTTGTCTGCATGGGAACATAAAACAAAAGAACATGGAAAATCTTATGGCACATTTGGACCACTCAATTTTGATTACTCAGATGCTTTAATATCGCAGGATGGGGTGGGGTGAGTTAAAGGACAATTGCTCCCCACACAAGCAGCTCACCTCCCCTATCTCATTTCTGAACCTTTGAAGTTTGTGAGGGCATTACATTTTTCACAGAAAAAAAAATCGCTGAACTAGAAATAAAAATAAAGCTGCAATTTTAAGAAAGCTTACTCGAAACTCAAATGTTAAAATCGATAGCACTTGCTTCAGAGAAAGCATGATTAATATGGTAGTATTAATGTGAAACATATTGTCACTTCTCTTCCAGAAATCTTAAGGGGGACAAAACTCTATGAAATGCACTTTGTGCCTTCTCCGTCATCCTCAACAGTTTTTTCTAGTGCCACCATTGTTCCGTGTGCTGCATAGTTATCGCAACCACTGGGATTTTCTGCTGCCAGGCATAACACTGCAAACCACACTTCTTTAAGTACATTCTTGCTGGCAAGGTAATAGTAGGCTGCTTTGCACAAACTCCATTCATGGTACAAAGCAAGCAAATACCATGTCACGGTTTACTGTGTAGTTGGGGAAACACAGAATGACCCGGTTCTCACCTCACAGTGGGAACATAAGAAAAGCCAAGCTGGAGCAGACCAATGATCCACCCAGTCCAGCATTCCATTCGTCTGGTGGCAAACCAGCTGCTCACAGGATCCCTCAAGCAGGATGGATGCTCAAGATCCTCAACAAAAATTATACCCAGGCATACTGCCTCTGACAATGGGGGTAGCACACAGCCAGCAAGATCTGTAGCCAGTGATAGCCTTATCCCCCATGCAGTTGTCCAATCCCATTTTAAGGTTGCCCAAACTGGTGGCCATCACTACTCCCTCTGGTGCCGAATTCCATAGTTTAACTAGGTGCCCTGTGAAGAAGCACTTCCTTTTACCTGACATAAATCTCCTACCAATCAGCTTCATGGGATGACCCCAGGTTCTAGTATTATGGGCAAAGGAGAAATATGTTTCCCTCGCCATACCACATGTAATTTTAAACAACTCTTATACTTGTTCACATTCTGATGCCCATTCTCTCACCTTGGAGAGATCTCTTAGCTTCTCACAATCCCTTTTGGTTTTAGCCACTCTAAATTGTCTACTGTCATCAGCAAAGTTGGCCACAACCCCCTTCTCAAAAACCCTGTTTTAAAAGAAAACTTTACTTTTGACAGCTGTCAAAAGTAAGTGCTCTTGTAAGTGGGGTTGGCTGCACTTTTCCATCTTCCCAAGTATATAGTCCCAAAAAAGGGTAGAAAAGGTAGATGACAGTAACAACTGTTATGTCCACACTTGAAACCTAAGGGGTCTCACTGCAAAGGCAATGATCTACTCATTTGATAGCTCATCTTTCGAAAGCTGACAGTGAAAGCAAAGTAACGTATTTAAATCCTGACTTTGTCAAGTCCATGGGAGATGCCTGCTTTGACAGCAAGCTCTCACCAGAACACTGACCAGCCAAGGGCTCAAATGTTGGGCTAGTGGAGTTGCATCTTGTGCAATTCCAAATTACTAAACATTTTTAAAAAGAAATTACTGAACACATTTGTCCACATTTCTGGCACAAAATAAATGTGGTGAAGCAATGAGACTGTACTGCTTGGGCATTGAAAAAGGGCTACCATAGGCAATCAGCTTGGAGAGCTCAAAAAATGACCTCTGAAAAAAGGGGGAAATGACCATAAAAAGGGGACACATTTTTAGTAGGGAACGGAGACAAGATGGGTCCCCTGGCATACTTGTGCGAGGGTCAAGGGAGAAGGAGCAGTGGGACAACCCATAGTAAGCCTCTGGAATAGCCCACACTGCATAACCTATCTGCAGGGTAAGGTGCTGGGATGAGTCAAGCCAGCAAATGTAATTGATTAGGAATGATTTAGCAAGTTACAGCACTATTGCCATAATTCTATTGTGTTATACAATTGATGGTAATCTACTGAACTGTATTTTAAATAATGCCACCTAATCTGGGGTTTAAAGTGCTAGGAACATTGAGATGATGTTTTAGCTCAAAATGAACTATTGCTAGAAATGCTCCCTACTGAAATGAGGCCATGGAAATCTCTGACAACTTGGCTAGATTCCAGAAGCTTATTAAACATCAGATGGCATGTGATTAATCCTAGGACCATCTTCACCTACTTCATTTTTCAGCATTGCTTAAAAACATGCCATGTCTCCTAGGATTTGAAATAAAGACCAAAAAATTAAAGCAACTTGAATTCATTACTTTGAATTACTTTGGATCTACTTAGAGCAAATATATTCGTAAACCTAGTAGCAAAGAATTTAAGGTTCCTTAAGAGTTGATTATAACTAACACAACAGAATACATATATTTAACAAATGAACAGCACTTACTGTTTCTTGGACTGGGATTGAACTACTGTCTCCTTTGGCATATGATGCCACTAGAAACTCAGTACTCTAGAAGAAAATTAACATTAATGGATTGCATTAGGGTTAGGGATAATTTGAGAAACTATGCTCATTGCTCTTATTCTATTTCAAAGTGTAGTTGCTTATGCAAGCAAAGATACAGCAAAGATATAATACGAATATGTGTAATGTCAATACAAATGCTGTTAATTGCCATCAACAGTGGTCACTATCTCATCTAATGCAGGCAGTTTACAATCCCATTGACGTCAATGGGATTTTAAGCAAGCTGAGTGCAAACTGCAGACAAGATGCGTTATCTACCAAGCACCAATATTTGGCAGGCTCCATGTGGAGTAATGCTATTTCTGGAATAGTCCTATGTTAACATTAAAAATATTGTTTGGGTTTTGGCTCAGCAGTGTTTGTGGACGACCCAAAATACTAGCCTAGTGAGCAAGTTGCACATAGCCATACTATGTGCATCCATCTTTCGCCACCTTTTCCCCAAAGAGCTTACTGGTACATAGTGACAACCAGAATTTGGGTTGAACTGTGGGTTGCTATTATGTGTGAACCCTACACGAAAAAAATTAAACTCTTATCTTGCTTGCACAAAATGCTAAACAATACTTTATTTAAGCAATTGTTTGCTGACCTGCCTTATTTGGCAGAAAATCAAATAGAGCATGGAATTGTTTTTTAATAGTCTTTGATTTCCTTCTCTTTCTACTATTCACACCCAGCTGCTTTGTGATACTGCAGTACTGGCATGCAAAGAGGCTTTTTAAAGCTCCTTGTCTACCTCCTCTGAAGCCTGGCAAAACAACCCATGATTTAAACAACCCACAGTTGACAGCCCAAAAACAAACTATGAATTATGTTTGTGGCTTCATGGTTAACAATACATAGTCAACCCATAGCTCTGGGTTCACATGTAATGACAACACACTAGTCAATAATTCCTAGTTGGTCATTATGTGTGAACCTATCAACAACCATGAATACAGGTTGATTATCATTGGTGCTGAATTGTGGACTGTTAAGTACAAGCATTATGTTCACATGTAATGACAACCCAGAATTCAGTGGTAACCCACTGGCATTTGCCCCATTCTCTTTTGTGATATGTTGCAAAAAGAACAGGAGACAACATTCAAATGCAGAGAGCCATTAATAGAATTCCTCTTATACAAACAGTACTTTCCTACTGCTGCCAGAACCTCTCAAACATGACCCAAAGTCATTCCTGAGCATAAGGGGAACCCCTGGAAAAGTGTGGGGTGGAGTGTGGCTAATGCTGAAGAGGGAAACAGACCATCCCTTGAATGAATGAAAATTTCTTTTGCTCACATAAGGGGTGCCAACACTGATCTCAGGAAAATAGTTTTTAGTTAAATCTATCACTTGGAAACATCTGGATAAATTCTGCAGTGGGCTTCAGCATTCTTCCAAAGGCTCACACAATGGCATACTTTCACTTGATAAATTTATACTGCAGTGCTTAGAAACATTACATTTAATAGCTACTATTCAGTAATAGGCATATGCACATGCTGTAATTTGGAAGGGAATTCTTGAGTTGTAAGTAAACTAGACACTGTGGAGGCAATCTGCCTGTATAGAAAATGAGGAGGAAGTTTTATTTTCACAGCAAAGGGTTACGGAGATGAGGAACCAGAACCTTCTCCCTGTCCACCACTTACCCTCCGGCATCCCATCCCCACCAAGGCATTTTACTTTCCTCTTCACTCCAACAGTGGGAGTGAGTCTTGCATGCTTGTTGAAAGGGACTGCAAGGAACATAACCGACAGGAACAGCGAAGAGAACTGTGTGCTCCGCAGCCATGCATCCCTTTTCTTGTTAAGAACATCTGTTCTCCAATTTATAAATGATTGAAGGTGACCCTGATTTAACCACAGAGATGTGCCACAATGCTTAACCCAGAGAACTAGTGGATTTACCTAGTTGCCTTTTCTTGATGCTGCCATGCAGGAGTGGCAAGTTTGAGCCTGTTCTTGGCACTTCTTTCCCTGATATGAGGGTTTGTATAGTAGCAACACTGTAGAGGCAGTGTGTTCTACCTGAAGGGTAGGAGTGGCTCTTGTTACTCAGTGATGAGTCACTGTAGTGATTATTATTGCTATTCTCATTATGATTCTTATAAAAAAATATTTATGAGCTCTCCAAAAAAAACCCCATCAAACTTCCTTTAGCTGAGGTAAGCTTTAGGAAATAATAGATTAAAAACTTCAAGATGCCTTGGGATATTTTGAATACTCCCAGATGTTGCATTCAAGGGTTATTAAACTGTAGGTCTAAAGTGCTTCCTCCTAAGGAAACACCAACTTTATTTCTCAAATATTGCATTTTGGAAGATAGATAACTTCCCTTTCAAGGCTTAAAGAAAGCAGGTTAGTGCACCCCTACTCCGTATTAATGTTATAGCCTGTCTCACATTTTCCAGGCCAATCTTGTAGGGGTTTGTTCAGAAGAAAAAATTGATTTGGATCCTGATTTGGATAGTGGGTCTTTTACACTGGACAACTCTGCCCCGAGACCAAAGTGGAGCCTTACTTCTTAAATTTGAAGCTTCATATGACTTCCCAATGACTATCATGAAAAATGAATGAATTACTTTAACATTAAAAAGGACAAATAGGTGGGATTTGCAGGCCTAGCAGGCACTTTTCAATGGATTAAACCTATCGAATTTCTGATAAATTGATACAGGGGATTCTGTGATAATTACTTTTAAACATAGGATGCCAGTATATTTTTATTTCTTGGCTGAACTGGATGAACTTTGCTGGCATAACTGCCTTTTCTAATGGGAGGTCTTACCTGCTAAATTTCAGGCAGATAGGTGTAAGGGGCATTGGGCACAGATAATCTCAAATTTGGGTGGGAGGCAAAAAGAGATTCACTCTCCACCACAGTTCTTGTTTGGTCAACTCATATGAAGATGGCACACATTACAATGGTGCCCCCAAATAAGAATTCCACAAGGACAGATGCAGTGTTTAGGAAGTGTGATGAACGAAAACCAGGTTGACACTTTTTTTCTGGTTTGTGTTCTGGTCATAAAGCCGTAGAAAATTGCTTCATCCTTGATGGACTAGATGGATAACAGTTTACAGAAAATGTATATGAAAGGGTGCACTGTACAGTTTGTCCACACCACGTAACACAATCAAAGAGGCGCTTTTAACATTGGGATTTTTTTAAAGAACTGTTTGCCCCACTCCTGCCCTTTGTAGACAATTGGTATTTTCCTCGGTTACTGTGCTACTTAAATATGTGCTCATACATATAGGGACACTTTGCAACCTAGTCTTTTGCTTTACAGCACAGTTCATAATCAGCTCCTTGATAGGTTGTGCAGCATGACGTGTGAACCTAGATGGCTGGGCAGCAGCTATTGTTTGTGAACCAGGTCACAAAGACATAGAGGAGCAGAACTATAAAACCCTGCCTTTAAAGTCTCCAGGGCATTCCACTGTCAATATTCTTCGAAGCTAAGAGAAGGGAGTCCTTCTCAGTCTTCATTTCAGAGTGTGAAGTCAATTTCACCACTGTGGTTATACATTAGGCAGCCAAGGTGGCAAAATCAGTTCTCTCACCATCAGCCCCTACTACCCTCCCTGTCTGAAGCCAAGGGCCCCTAATTAAACATTTCCAAAACACATCACCTTTAGCTGGAAGGCGTGACCTGCCCTCCACATGACCAGACTGGGGGAGCGTGACTGAGAAAATTTATGTACTTTGCTGGGGAGCTGGTGCCAGCAGAGCAGACACTGCAGTGAGGGACAGACATTCCCTTCCAAACAACAGAGTCAGACAACAACCTACCGCAGAACACCACCAAGCCAGTCATAGTTGTTTAAAACACTGGTACACTTTAGCAGAGATGCAAGGAAAGAGAACTCACCTCCATATTCACAGATGGTAAGTTGGCCCATATCTACCCTATATTTAAGTAAGATAAAGGCCAGTTCATACAATTACCTGGGCCTAAGCATGGAGTATCTTACATATTTTTATTTAACATAGTAATAAATTTAGTAGGCTATAAACTGGAGAGTTCTTTTAGGTGTATGCAGGGTATACTTTCTTATAGCAAGAAAATGCTATAACACGTATGGCTTCTAATACCCCCCATTATCTCCTGGGTTTAAAATGAATATGTAAAGGGTGGTCAAAGGCCAGACAAAATTATGCAATTTAAAATTTCACCAGTTGAAATCAATATATTTAAGCTGCAACTTTAACTTTCCCATTAAAACCAGTAGACTTAAAAGTACTCAATTTTAGCTAGACTGTGACCACCTAGCTATCAGTACCATTGTCACTCTACCTTTCAAAAGAAAAGATAATTGATCTGGTGCAGTGTGGCCATCCTCACCAGTGCCATCCAGTCTATGCAGGGTCCAGTAAGAAAGAATTCAATCCTCCCTCAGGAAACTACCTACACTCCTGAGATAGCCTGAATCACAAGCATGAATACAATTCATATAACAACTTAAAAGGCTTTCAACACCCATTCATTCATTCAGCCACACAGTATTTGTTTCATGAAACCAAATAATTATCACTCCCATGTCTACATTAAGGATTGAGGTATTACTTATTTAACCTAAACCAGCTGACCTCACACTAATAGAACTCCCAGGTAATGTTGGGGTTTATGCCGCATTTGACAGCAATATCCCCACCACCTGCCCTCTGTTATAACAACAGGCTGGTTCTAAGTTCTCAGCTGGTGGAATCATTGCTTGAGTAGAGTTCTGCTTCAAATGCCTGCCTTGGAAAAGTTGGGGGGGGGGAGCAATCTTGGTAGATTAGCTCCCACCATGATCTTACCTATTTCAGAGTAGTTTTTGGGGAGTGAGAAGGAACTACAGGTGAAGAGGGTCCTGAAGAAGACTGTTCCCCCACCCCCTGAGCCACTTTCTACCAGTGGGATTCCTCTGTTGGATCAGAAGCCTCCCACAGATGGAAGGCTTATGCTAGACTCAATCCAAGTTGTAAGAATAAAGCATAGTTAAAATCCTATCAATGTAGAAAGTAGCAAAGCTACTGTCATGTGTTGGTCTTTACAGAGCTTGGATCATTAAATTAGTGCCAGTGCTACTGTTTCTTTCTTGGGTTTTCAGAAGCCTATGATCCTTATTTGATTATAATCCTTCAGGCATTTAATGAGCATGGGAATCCATAATCTGCCTGGAGGAAAAGCTGTGCCAGGCTGTACTTTATTGAGTCCCGCAATGTACAAACACAAAAATGAAATGCAAACACAGCTGCTGCAACAAAGTCTTTAAGGATTTTTTTTTTTAAAAGGACGAATTGAAAAGTAGCTGAAATAATTCAACTGCTAAGATGACTCGATACACTCCAAAACTATTTTGATCTGTTCTTCTTTCATCAGAAACACTTCGCTTTCAACTTTAAAAGATGCCAATTTACATACTGTTGGGAGAACTTTTCTACCACTACAATAATATTTTTTTAAGCCTAATGAATGCTATAATGGATTTCCTATCCTTGGTTTTTTGCTCTAGTCTATATTATTCTGGGCTTGCATGTCTAAAGAGATTCAGTCTGGAATTTTGCATCCAAAAAATCCGTATTACTTTCAGTACTAATTGAGGAAAACAATTCATAGATAGAAGCCACCCAGAAGCATAATCAGCACAGAAAGCCAACAAGAAATGCTTTTGAAAAATGCCTGCACCATCCATCCAGATCTCCCATTGAGCAGGTGAAATTATGTGCTGATGGGGACATTGAGCAACTGGGACTGTTTCCCCGTTCTGAAAGGAACAGCAACCCTCTGCATGTGTGATACCTAAGTTTGTATCCACTGAATTTCAGTAAAGACTTTTGATGGAAATAAAAAATAGCCATTTATTTATAGCAAAATATTTTCTGAACAAGTGGACAGAAGATGATGGAGATGAGCATGGAAAAATAGGGAAAAAATTCTCTTTGGGACCCCTAGCTGGCAAGAAAGCCTCTTAAAAATATTTATCTTCTTTGGAAACTAGTACCAGGTGAATTAGTAGGGGAGTTCACAGATCACATTAAGCCTCCCTGTGAATAAGCCACAGTGGATTAGTTGTTCAGTGAACAGACATCACGATGTTGGTGTACTCCATCTCTTCCCCTTCAGTCCTGCAGCCAGCTCCAGCATGCATCCCAGTGCCCTTTGTGGGAGAACCTGTCTTTATGCCCTCTCCCCACTCACTACTCTTTTTTGTTCAGTGTCATTCTGCCTCTCAATTTTTGGTGGCTCAAAAAATACAGCTGTCGAATTTTTTTTAGCCCCAGAAAATTGTATTTTTTCCCAAATAGTCAGCTCTTTGTAGGTACATAAATTACATGCAATCTGGGTTCTAGTCCCCGCTCAGCCATGGAGCCAACTGGGTGACTTTGGGCCAGTCACAGACTCTCAGCCCAACCTACCTCACAGGGATGTTGTTGGGGGATAAGATGGAGGAGGAGAGATGATGTAAGTTGCCTTGAGCCTTTTGTAAAAAAAAAGGCAGGATATAAATCGCAATATAAATAAATAAATAAATAAATAAATAAATATGCTTACAGCTGTCCAATAAACACAGACTTTCTTGGTCAATTCCCTTGCCTCTTTCAGCTGCCAAAGGGAGGATAAGGCAACACAATATACAGGCTAATTTGTGCACACTTGCCAGCTGTCATTTGCCTAGCTGTCAATTGAAAAGCACTGGTAAATGGGGAAAAAACAAGGCAAGAAGGTTCAGCAAATGGAGGTGGCAGCAGTATAACCCAATTAGCAATGTAATCCCATTGACTTTAATTGCTGAACTTACAGTTCAGTTTCCTTCACATTTCCAACAATACCTTAAGTTTCTAGCTATTCTAGAGGAGCAATATTAATCACTGGCACTGCTGCTTTAGATGACTCTTTTTCAAAGCACTTCAGTTCCCTAACAGTTCTAAAAAACCACGGAAATATCTGCAAATGCAAGGGCTGGAGAGTAAATGGAGGAAAAAAATGTGCACCTGCTATTAACTGCTCCTAAAACGGGCAGGGTACTTAATGCATCCCTTTCTAGAATAGCTGCAGACATGATGAAATGTTGAGAAGTTTGACTAAGAAATTTCAGTGCAATGCTTACAACTGAGACACTGCCAAGGAGAGAATACTGGCCCTGCCCTCTTTTGTTATACCCTCTTTATTTTTTTATTTTATTATTTTATTTATTAAAACATTTCTATGTCGCCCCTTGCCAAGGCCTCTTTCACTGCCTTTTTGCCATTTACCAGTGCTTTTCCATTGGGAGCTAGGCACTTTGTCCCAAGCAACTGTGTGCAAGAGAGCCTATAAAAAGCCATGTCTTCTGCAGGGCAGCCAGCCACAGCTGCATATTTGTGTGCTTACAAAGACCAACAATTTGTTTTTAAAATGCACAATATTCAGGGCCACTTTAAAAAAACTTTATCTGAACTGTGCTTTTCAGGGGTTCCATTAAAAAAAAGGCAGAGAAACAATTCACAAGAAGTAATAGTTCCTCTATATTCCTCACTAGTTAGACCTCACCTGGAATACTGTGTCCAGTTCTGGGCACCAAGATTTAAGAAAGATGCAGGTAAATTAGAAAGGGTTCAGTGGAGGGCAACAAAAATGATCCAGGGTTTGGAAACACTGTTCTATGAGGAGAAACTGAGAAAACTGGGCATGTTCAGCCCTGAGAAGAGAAGAATGAGGTGGGGACATGGTATCACTGTGTAAGTCCCTCAAAGGCTGTCACAAAGAGGAAGGTCAAGATCTTTTCTTGCTGATGCCAGAGTGTAGGACATGGAACAATCAGTTCAAGTTGTGACAACCCAGATTCATGCTGGACATCAAGAAAAGCTTCCTCATTGTCAGAGCAATACAACAGTGGAACCAGCTGCCTAGAGAGATGTGGGCTCTCCCACACTAGAGGCATTCAGAAAGAAATTGGACAGCCATCTGAGTGGGATGGTGTAACATGGGTGCCCTGCACCAGCAGGGGGTTGGACTTGACCTTCATGGCCCCTTCCAACTCTACTATTCTATGATTCTGTGATAAGGGATAGTCCTTTTCAGCATCTTTGGAAAAGCAGACATTGGAGTGACCAGAAGCTGCAAAGGTTGTGGCTGCTCTTGCTTACTCTGTAGCCATTCCCATCCATCCACAATAAGATCACCCTGACAGGCTCAGGCACCCCGGCAAACCAGCATGGGTTGACCAGTCCTAGAACAAGACATGGGTTCCCAGGCTGGCTGATTTGTGAAAAACAAACCACCCTGTAGATGCTGTACTGTCCGGATGGCACAGCCCACTATAGTTGATGATCCACAGTAGATTCTAACCAGGTCAATGTGACAGATACAGTTCAACTCCTACTCTCTGTATCACAATAGTATGAAATATCAAAGTACAAACTGGTTAATTTTAGCAAATTAAACACAGGTAAAGGAACTTGGGGGAGATAAATCTACAAAAAAGAGGGGTGCCATTCTTAATGCTAACAGCATTTAAAATTCTGTTATTGTACAAGCAGTAACAATACTGCTTGGGATAACACACTCCATTAGTACATTTCCATCTCTCTCAATTCAAAGTACAATATATTAACATCCAAAAATACAGTTGTGTCCTCTTTGCCTTATTCTTCTTAACCATGCATATATCCCTACATCTGCTCCCTCTCATAGGAAATAACAATCTTGTATACCTAATTTTAATGAATTACAAGCATGCAGTGCAAAGGTAATATTGGAGCTTCTATTCTTTGGTTTTTAGAGAGCAATGAAAGGAGGAAAAAAAGACTACATGGAAGATTATTTTCTGGAGAAGTTCTTTTATGACTGAAGGGGAGTATTAAAAAGCTCTTGCACAATAGTAACATTTGAAGAAAGATTTTTAAAAGTTTATATTCTTTTTCTATATGCAAAAAGGAAAAAAATTAGAACTCCTTACCGTGCGTAGTCCAGCTGAAGGTGTTAGGCTAAAAGGATTTCCTACTGGGACAAAACTCCCTGTGAAAAGACAAAGTGTGAAATTTTCTCTTGTTATCCCCTTTCAGTTTAATAAATAATGTTATTTTTAAAACATGATGAAAATAAGATGTTTCACAAAACCCTGAATGAAAAACAGCAGCTGCTTTCAGTCCCAACTATGCATCCTTCAGTCAGTAACAGTTGGAGAGTTTATCTAACTAACAGACCTGACACAAGGTTAGCTAATCCAATATTTCCATTCAAATGATTTGGAAAGATAGCACAAGCAATGCCCACATACCACCTCGCACTCAGAATTGACACTATTATTTAAAAGCAACACTGTCTTTCCCTGTCATTGAATCTTTGAGTCATGCATACAAGGGTTTTTCTCCAGCAGAAGTGATCACAACACCCCTACATTGAATTTACTCATTTCATCAGAAAGAATAGGTATAAGCTATTCAATATATTCTCTTTGATCATACGCCCTCCTGGCATCACACATCTTGCTGCTTATTTTATTCCAGCTCAGTTCAGTGCTTGTTTAAAAGAAGTATTTGTCACTCAGGTCCTTTTGCATTCTATATTATACTAATAAGCTCACTCAGATCTTTTGAATATGTATGAATTCATTTTTTTCCTTTCCTTTCGGAATAATACTAAGGAAAGAAACATCTTTCAAGATAGTTTTTGATGTATAGTCCCCTCCCAAAATATAAATCCCAAATGCCAGTTAGAAAGAGCTGATATAATGGTCAAAATAACAGCTTAACTGGGAAGACCCAGATTTAATCCCCAGTAACTTGGGGAAGTCATCATCTCTGAGTTTCACCTACCTCACAAGGTTAGTGTGAGGATAACACAAGGGTGGCATGAATCATGGTCTCTTTGAGTTTCTTGGAAGATAGGATATGAATGTAACAAATAAATCCCGTATTCTACCATATTTATTTGTCATCTGAATTAAGAGAATTCACTGTGGTTCTGGTCCCCCACTGCCCTGCTCCTCCACTGAAGCAACCTGTGATGGTCATTTAGGTTCTTGATAAAAATTTGAAGAGCAGTTTGCATGGCAGTAACAATAGCAGTCTGTTCCATCATTCCTTCTGCTTATCCTTTTGGGAAAGTTTTAGGTCCTAATTGCAAGGATACAGCTACAGAGAAAGGAGAAGAGGAAACTGAAGATAAAGTATAAGGAGGGAAGAAGGGAGGGAAAGGTACCTAACGGGGATAGCAGTCTCATTGCAGTGGTTCTGGCTGCAAGAAGAACTAATTTGGAAGGAAGTTGGAAAGAGATTTCAGAAGCAGAGAAAGAAAGGTGTGCCAGTAAGAGTATTGCTAATGCCTGAATATGGTGCTAAGTGTCCAAGAAATCTTGAATCATTCTCCGAGCATGAGATTTTTTCTGCTGCAGATACCTCTTGAAAAGTTATACTAGTGAGGTGAGGACAAGTGAAAGAATAAGCAAAAGTGGAAAAATAGATTAACAGTAATATAATGATCCCTCTAAGACAGTACTTTAAAACTCTTCACCTGCCCCACTCCAAAGTAGCAGAGCCTATGAGAGCACATCTTAATTGGAGGACCTCCTGGACCAGCTTTGAGATCCAACATTAAATCCAACTAATATGGCCCCTCAGATTCCCTATGGTCATTGCTCCTTTCTTGTAGCAGAAGCACCCCCCGCACCCAGCAAACAATTAAAATAGCATGGCTGTTCTGGCAACATAGCTGCAAGTTAGAGGCTATTTGTCCTTTGTAGCTATACTTTCTGCACTGTTCCTTTTCTACTTTCTTTTCTCTACTGAAGGTAAAGGGCTTAAGACAGAAGAGAGGCTCAGAAGCCAGAGCATGTATCATCGAAGGTCAGGGTGTAGGGTGGAGTGACTAATCTGAGGCTGGAGCTCTGCCTTAAATAGCTCCCATTGTCTGGCAATGTTGGTCTGATGCTCACGTGCACCATCTGTTCTGCACCCTCTTCTGAGTAGATGGTGTGCCCTTGCTATACCTACAGGATCAGTGACTGGAATGCCAGGCTGTGGGGGATTATCTGGTGGATACTGTATTAGTGACACCTGAGCATGAGCCACAGCATGAGCTGGGACTGGCAGAAACTCCTGGGAGGTTGCATAATGGTAAGGAAGCAATGTGGGTTGTAGCTGTGGAAGTAGAAGAGCCCTGATAGGCTACTTCTAAGATACGGAAAGCTTTACTGCTGCTACAAGAAGATACTCTGTTCCCCCACAACCCATTCAAAGTCCATTATGAAGCTTCCATCTTGTCATGGATCAAGTGTCCTTAACTGTAGATTGTGTCAGCTAAGTTCAGTGTTAACCAAACCATCAAGAGTTGTTCATTAGCTCCATGCTGGTCCTTGGAAAGTTGGATGGTCTGTTCCCTGAATGCGCCAGTGGTGTTCACCAATTTCCATGCAAATTTCATGGTGGTTTTCTGCCTGTTACAAGGACATGTCAAACTTTGTGTGTTCCTGGCTCCTCCTGCCTTTCTTTAGCCAGCTGTACTTGTACTGGCCTAGCTCTTTTGCTGGCTGCTAAAAACAATCTCTCACAGGTTTGTCTTCCATAACAGCTGAACTCTCTCTTCCCTCCATGGCCATGAAGCTGGTAAAGGTAGGGCTTTTCAATTACACAAACAGGCGGAGCAGTTCTTGATCAAGTGGCAGATGGAAATTTGCCACTTCTTCCCTTCAGCCTATTACAAAGAAATGGGTCTTTCAAGATTAAACTCTAGCTGAGGAGGAGGATCTCTTGATGGACCCCTGCCTGAACCCATCAAGGTTTGTTGCACATGTTTCTCCAGGCAGCTTCTTCTTGCACAGGAGTGCGTGAGAAATCTATTGAAGGCAAATTATAATTATTGTTGCACTTCATTTATATCCCACCTATTTTCTTCTTGCAAGGTAGCTTACATAATCTTCTTCCACTCTATTTCATCCTCACAGTCATGGTAAGAATGTACGATTACATTTCTCATCCTGAGGCTTTGGCGACAGGACGGCATATAAATAAATAAATAAATTCCTTTGCCACAACAACATTTTGCTTCCTTTGAAATTCCTTGGATATGGTGTTCAATCTAGTTCAAGAAAATGTGCTTTGACATTTTGATTTAGTTAAAATTCAGTGGCAATGCTATTGGTCAAAGAGTCAGTGTCAAGATACAAACCCAGTTCACATACAACACAAAGGTTATTGGGGATGAATAGAAGTGAGTGAGAGCACTGCCTCCTGTGTGCTTCTAACTTCTACTTTCTATTTTAAAAAAGCTATGATTCCTTGTCTGAAAGTTGTTAACATAACTCTGAACCCGGACATGCTGAACTGTTTAAGAGTTAAATCCAACTCTAACCTATGGATTATGTTGGGGTTAACTCCGGGTTGTTTAACCAGTAAGCCATCTAGGGTATCCAAGTTCAGATGCAACACTCACAGTCTAAGAAAACAGCATTGAGGAACACACTGTGCCCACTTGCTCCTGCTCACCAATTTGTGAGTTAAATTAGCCACAAATCGGTGTTGTCTGTGAACTGGCTCATAGTCTACTAGCAACTGAAAGTAGTACTGTTTCATTTAAGTTAGTAAAATATATTTATCCTATCCCTCCAGATTTCTAACCATTTGGCAAGACAAACAAAATTACCAAATTCCAACAACATAAGGATATTGCAGATCAAGCGATCACTCAGATTTTTAAAAAAAGTGCTTGAACAGCATTGTTTGAACTTGCTATATCATGGTTCTAGCTGGGGCACCAGTACAAAGGCCTTCAGAAGGTGGAAAGACAAGAGACAAGGTCTCCTCTGAAGAGTGCAATATGTGAATACGTTCATACAGAATACCTCCCCCGCAACCTGCTGCTCTCCAGATATTTTGGACTCCAGCTCCATAATTTTTAGCATGACCAATGTCAGGAACCTAGACATTTTATTTATTTAAAATATTTCCTGGCTACCTTTCAAGGCAGCATACAACAATATGTAAAACTGATAAAATATAAAAAGTGATAAAACACGGTAAAATGGTAAGAACAGAATAAAACCAGCAATTAAAACTAACAACAAACCAGCAAAAAAATGTAGTCCAAAACACCTGGAGAGCACCTAGTGGATGAAGGCAGATATAGAAGGGGCAGAACCCCTAGATATACTGTTCTGTAAATCAGGGATTCCCTTCCTAGTCTTTTCCCTGTCTGACAGATGAGATGTGGAGAAATCTTCACCCTGAGTGTGTGACAGGGGATCGGTCAAGGAATAATTACGACTCATCCACTCGCATCTCTTTTATTATTACATGGTAGCCTTTTTGAAATGGTCTTTTTATCAAGCAATTATTAATTTCAGCAGAAGGAAGTCTTACCTGTTTGTCTCGGCTGCCATCATATGTATGGTTTATTATTTTGCCAATATAAGGAAAAAAACCACTAAATTCAAAAGTCAGAAATGTGATCAAACCAACTCTTCTACCAGTGACCCATGCTATCCTTCCATCAGAATTAAAGTTTAGGCAATGACATGCCTCTTCTCATTCGCTACATGTACATTCTGGTACTAGCAAGAAATTCAGTAATTGTCAACATCCATATGCACACAATTTAGTTAAGTGCTCAGGGTGATAAGTGCTCATTAGTTGGCTGAATGTGCAACTAATACAAGGTTTTTTAAGGCTGAAATTATTCAGGTGCATTGGCAGATATCCATGGGAAAACTTGCACAACCTCCACCTGCACTTTGCCTACCTTAAGCTAGTGGTATTAGTCACACGCATAAGAAATTTCCTCACAAATATTTGAACACTGGAAGATATTTATTTATGTAATTATATGGCACCACCTCAATGAGCCAGCTTGCCCACAATCTTGCAAACACTTGAGTCTGAGTATCTCCTTGCCTGTGAATAGCTTCAATGTTAAAGAGTTGTCTACTTAACCAAGTCTTTTATCCTGTTAAAGCCTAACACACAAGTATGCCCTGTTCAGGAAGACACAATTCAATTTAGAAGAATTATACCCAATTGTTTGGGTATAATGGTTTGTGTTATGCAATAGATTGGTAACCAATAAATTTAATAAAACAATTGCAGAAACAAAACTATCAATACACTTTGTACACAACCCAGTCAAAATGAAGTATTTCTAGGAACTGCTGATTTTAATGGAAGAAATTCAGCACAAGAGGAAAAAAGACAGGATTTAACTGTAATACAGGAATACAGCAAACTTCCAATTGATGTTCAGTGCATGAATAAACACATTACAAAATACATTTCTATGATGAAATGTATTGTACAGGAAATGCAATTAATGATGGTAATCAATATTCATTCAATATTCATTTTATGTCTTGAAGACAACATCATGAAGGTGTTGTCCATTTCTCCATACACATTCTGACAGCCTGTTGTGAAAATTCTGTATTGTTCAACATAACATGTCAAAAGGAATGACAGCGATTTCCTCTTCAATCCTCCTTTTTAGTTCAGCAATGGTTGCAGGACATGTGCCGTACACTTGTCTTTTAAGATGTTCCCACGGAAAAAAAATCACAGACAGTGCGATCTCAGAGGCCATGGAATGCCACTATTATGTGAAATGACGTGCCTTCCAAAGAATCATCAAATAGCTGCCATTGATGGTCAGGCAGCATGCAAAGTGGCTCCAGCCCCCTGAAACCACGTTTTCGATATTCAGATGTGCAAAGTTTTGCCACCTCTGCACAAAAATTTTTTTCAAGCAAAGCCAGCATACCGATCAGATGTAACTGTGGTTGCAATGCTCTCCTCATTTTCAAAGAAGTAAGGGCCTATGATGGCATGTGATGACACATCACACCATACTGTAACCTTAGTGCTGTGTAATGGACGCTGGTGAAGCTCAAAAGGATCTTCCCGTGCTCGGTAACAGAAATTCTGTTTGTTAACATACCTATGAAGGTGAAAATGGGCTTCGTCCAAAATCCACAAATTGATAATGAAATTGGCTTCCTCGTTTACTTTAGCCAGCTCTTGTTCACAAAACTGTCGACGCAACATGTGGTCACTGGGTTTGAGTGCCTGCACAATCTGCAACTGATAGGGATGGAACTTCTTTGCATGCTTCGTCACCCCAAATGCAACGGTGGTGCATGTTGTCAAATGGAGCAGTGAGGGCTCCTCATGATGGCAGCTCGAACAGCCTCAATATTCTCTAGTATCTGGGCTGTTCAAACACCACCCAGGGACTTCTTTTTTAAGGCTAAACCCATTTCTTTGAAATTACACACCCATGCTGTAACTGCATGAGCAGATGGGACACGATCATGGCATCCTAACTGGTAATGGCACCGAAATTCCCTTTGTGCAGCAGCACACTATCACCATTCTTATAAAAGGCTTTTACAGTGAATGTTCATTGCGCACCACTCCATTATAACTAGTGGCAAGGGGTTCTAAATGAGGTCGTACTGGTTCCAAACAATTGCCAGGGTCACCAACTCCTAGAACTGAATATCCTGTTTCCCTGCACGACCCTGTATAATAATTATACTGCTGAAATTACAGCATTTACATGTTTACATTTGGTTTGAAATAAACTAGGCATAATCAAACTGATGTATGCTAGAGGCTGTTTTTTCTGGAAACCTAGGGGTTGGTTTCTTAAAGCATGGGGAAGGTCTCCTTAAAGAGCTACAGAAAGATAGGGATAAGTTGTAGGCCCAGTTAGGAAAGAATTTTTTTATGATCATGTAATATTTTTGTTAATGGCTTGAGTGGGCACGGGTGTGAGTACTGTGCTGATTTATATATCTCACTTCATATCTCAATGTATTTCAAGTGGCTATTTTGCTGATGAATTATTCTATAGCTTGAAAGTCATTTGTTTCCTTTAGCTTTTTTGTTATAGTAATATTAATCCCATATTGATGGTAATGGCAACTTACACAGTGCTTCAGAGATGTACATGACATACACTATCTGAAGCTTACAGCATTGCTCTTTTTCCAGGCCTTTAATGTTTCTATCTGCCTCCTGTCTGCAAAAGGAAAACTGTCAATCCATCATGCTAGTCTATTTGTTACCATTCTGTTATAAGATTCTTTTAGGGATATGACCAGATGTGGTGCAGAAGAGACTTACAGATATAAGAATGGATAAAGATGAGAAAAAGTTTGGGAAGAAAGGGATAGTTATTTCTGAGAAAGGAAAAAAACAAATGGAAAAGAATAAATTTTCAGAAATAGACTACAACAGGAAATATGGGCTTTAAAATGGAGGACAGAATCAAGATAAGGACTAGGAAAAATGTTTTCAATGTAAAATAGGTGGGCTGTAACAAATTACATGAGCAATAGAGATTTAACATGAATAGAAACTGTAAGAATGAATATTCCTTCCATTATGCATGAGTTAATGGATTTTATTAATCTGTGCAGTGGACTCGGAGGCGCCCTGCGGACACAAAGCAGCGGCCGCGACCAGGAGGGAACGGCCCCTCGGGCAGGAAACACCGACCCCACGCTGCAAGAAAGACTTCCGCCCACCTCCAGCAGCACGCCGCTCCATCGCGCTGGAGGAAAGAGCCGCCGCGTGGGCAAGCGAATGCAAGCAGACGCGCGCAGCCACGACGTCGATGGCAGCCAGCTCCAGCGGCCAGCGCAGGCGCACGTGGCGCCGGAGAGCGCCGCCCGCCGGCCCAGGTGCACAACGGGGCGGGACTCGGAGGTGCCCTGTGGACACAAAGCCGCGGCCGGGGCCGGCGGCCAAAGGGGGTTGCCGCCGTTTGGGTGCCGTTCAGGGGACGAGAGGGGTGCTGGGCTGGCCAAGGACTCTTGTTGAAATAGGCTTGCCTACTGCTGAATCTTAGGGAAGGGGAAGGATTTTTTTTTCTTTTTCCCCTTTCTTTTTCTTTTTATCGTTCTTTTTTCTCCTCCTTCGACCTACTTTATAATTTTACCCTGCTTTAATCAGTGCTTTGAGTCATCCCTGGCCATGTCGACGTTTATATATCCTGGGGAACACACGGGCGCTGCCATTGGCGTGGTCACGGGCAATGGTCGTTACAGCAATAGGGGCTTAACGTGTCCACGTAGAAGAAGAATGGACAGATGGCCGACACCTATCCCTCCTTTTGGTTCTGCCCCCAACCAGAGGGCGCCAGGTAGCCTTGTCAACCACCCCTTGGGCCTGACAGTGCTGCTGTTCAATGCCAGGTCGGTCAATAATAAATCTTCCCTCATCCATGACTTGATTGTGGAGGAGGGGGCCGACCTGGCTTGCATAACGGAGACCTGGGCGGGAGAGGGAGGGGATGTTGCCCTTTCCCAATTGTGCCCACCTGGGTATCTGGTTCAACACTGTTCACGCCCAGAAGGGAGGGGAGGGGGAGTCGCGTTGGTTTACTGAGCCTCCATCTCTCTCACGGGTCTTCCGGTCCCTTCGAGACCAGGGCTGGAGTGCCTCTACTTGGTGTTGGGCGAACGAGACAGATTGGGGATTCTGTTGGTGTACCGTGCACCCTTCTGCCCAGCAGTCTCCCTATCTGAGCTGACAGAGACCGTCTCGGACCTGGTGTTGAGGACCCCCAGGATGTTGGTCCTGGGGGACTTCAATCTCCATGCCGAGTCTGGACTGACCGGGGCGGCTCAGGACTTCATGGCCTCTATGATGGCCATGGGCCTGTCTCAACACGTCATCGGCCTGACCCATGAACGTGGACACACTCTGGACCTGGTATTCACGAAGGGGCAGGAAGAGGATGACCTGAGGGTGAGGAACTTATGTTTGACTCCCCTGTCATGGTCAGATCACCTCCTGGTGAGGTTTGTGCTCGAGAGCGGCCTCTCCCTCTATAAGAGTGCGGACCCAATTGTATGGGCCCGCCCCCGGAGCCGGATGGATCCGGATGGATTCCTGAAGGCCCTGGGGGAGTTTCCGGCTGACAAGACTGGTGCTCCTGTCGAGGCTCTGGTCGAACTGTGGAACGGAGAGATGACCAGGGCTGTGGACACGATCGCTCCCAAGCGTCCTCTCCCACCGGGCAGAGTCCGCTCTTCCCCTTGGTATACACCTGAATTGCGGGCGATGAAGCGGGTTGGGAGACAACTAAAGCGTAGGTGGAGGAAATCACGGGATGAATCTGACCAAACACACTTGAGAGCCCACTATCGGGCCTATGCTGTGGTGGTGAAGGCAGCAAAAAAGAAGTTTTTTTCCGCTTCCATTGCCTCCTCACAATGCCGTCCGGCGGAGCTTTTTCGAGTGGTACAAGGCCTGGTTCGCCCGGGTCCTAAGGAAGATCCGATGCCACCCTCAAAGGCCCGCTGTGACGACTTTGCCAGGCATTTCAGGGAGAAAGTCGCTCAGATTCGTCACGAGCTGGACTCCACTAATGAATCAGAGGTCTCTGGGGAGAAGCCAATGCTACCGTCTGGTCCAAAATTATTGGAGGAATTTCAATTATTGCGTCCCGATGATGTGGACAAGGTGCTTGGACGAGTACGTCCCACCACTTGCCTATTGGATCCTTGCCCGTCTTGGTTAATAAATAACTCCAAGCATGGGATTGGGACCTGGATCTTGGAAGTGGTTAACGCTTCTCTGAGGGAGGGTCGGGTACCTGCCCCTTTAAAGGAGGCGGTAATACGACCGGTCCTGAAGAAAGCGTCACTGGATCCAGAGATGGCCACTAACTATAGACCTGTGGCCAACATCCCGTTTCTGGGCAAGGTGTTGGAGCGAGTGGTGGCGGGACAACTCCAAGCACTCTTGGATGAAACTGATTATCTGGATCCTTTTCAGTCCGGCTTCAGACCCGGGTACAGTACTGAATCTGCCTTGGTCTCCCTGTACGATGACCTGTGCAGGGAGAAGGACAGGGGGAGTGCATCCCTGTTGGTTCTTCTGGACCTCTCGGCAGCTTTTGATACCATCGACCATGGTATCCTTCTGGATAGGTTAGCGGGATTGGGGGTTGGAGGCACTGCTTTGCAGTGGTTCCGCTCCTATCTCAACAGTCGATTCCAGAAGGTAGTGCTGGGGGACCATGTCTCTGCGTCATGGCAGCTATGCCATGGAGTACCACAGGGCTCCATTCTATCCCCTCTGCTATTTAACATCTATATGAAACCGCTGGGAGAGGTCATCAGGAGGTGTGGGCTGCGGAATCATCAATACGCTGATGATACCCAGCTCTACCTCTCGTTTTCCACCAATCCAGGTGAGGCAGTGGCTGTGCTGAACCGGTGCTTGGCCGAGGTAAGGGAATGGATGAGGGCCAATAAACTGAAACTCAACCCAGACAAGACGGAGGTCCTGTTGGTTGGCGGATCGGGCTTCGGAGAGGGCGGATTTGACCTGGTCCTGAATGGTGCAACACTCCCTCTTAGGGATAAGGTCCGCAGCTTAGGAGTACTCCTCGACCCGGAGCTTTCTTTGGAAGCTCAAGTGACAGCGGTGGCGAGGAGCGCCTTCCTTCAGCTTCGGCTGATTAATCAGCTGCGCCCCTACCTGGAGTACAACTGCCTGGCGACGGTGACACACGCGCTGGTGACTTCCCACCTAGACTTCTGTAACGCGCTTTACGTGGGGCTTCCCCTGAAGACGGTCCGAACACTTCAATTGGTGCAAAATAGAGCTGCCAGGTTGCTGACGGGGACGGGGCGTTATGCTCACATGACTCCAGTCCTCCATCAGCTTCACTGGCTTCCCATTGAAGCCCGGGCCCAATTCAAGGTGTTGATTATGACCTACAAAGCCCTAAACGGCTTGGGTCCTGGCTACCTGAACGAGCGCTTACGTCCGTATATGCCCGACCGCCCTTTGAGATCTGCGGGAGAGTCCCTTCTCCGGGAACCCTCCATGAAAGAAATTAGGAGAGTAAGTACCCGGAGGAGGGCTTTCTCTGCGGTGGCGCCCAACCTATGGAATTCACTCCCCAAAGAGGTCCGCCTGGCACCGTCGTTACTGGTTTTTCGGCGCCAGGTAAAGACCTTTTTATTTAAACATCATTTCAATTGTTAAAACATATGATCTGGCCTGGGCAACTTCTTCTTCCTTCTCTTTCTCCTCCTATATTTTTATTTTATACTGATAATTTTAATTTTGTATTTGTAAATCAATGTATTTTTTGTATTGTTATATTTAATGGTAATTTATTATGTACTATTGTATTTCAATGTATTTTATCATGTTGTAAGCCGCCCCGAGGTTTCGGCAAGGGGCGGCATAGAAATGTTATAATAATAATAATAATAATAATAATAATAATAATAATAATAATAATATTCTGCATCTGTGAAATGGTTACCTTTGACCAAGTCTTTGCCTATCTTTTTTCTTGGTCAAACCTGACTGATAATAATGTTGAAGCAGACTATTTATATTGCGTATTGCTCATGGGGGGCAGCGGGTACTTTTATTCATTTAATTAATTTTTATCTTGCCTTTTTTCTTTTTTAAAGAACTCAAAGCAGTTCACGTCATTCTCCTCCTCCTGCTCTGAGTCTTATCCCCACAATGCTGCAAGCCCCAAAGTCACCACTGGGCAGGGACCAGAAACCAGGCTGCCCGAGTCTCAGACCCACATTCTTAACCACTACACCATACTGGCAATTGACTCCACCGCTCCCAAACTAATTTGCACCTGGCTCAGATTTGTGGACTGCAGACTTCAGGAAACAAAGCAAAACAAAAAACAAAACAAAAGCAGGAGAACCCACAAGTCAGAAGTCTCCCCATCCCATGCTAAGGGACCCAAAAAACTGTCTTTCTGTAGGGTTTATTCTAAGCACTGTTTTCAAACCCACAAGAATCTGGTCCAGTCCTCCAGCTCCAATACATGAACATCTCTAACGGAAAACAATAGAAAGCCAAACCTTATTTTCCCAACTGCCCAGTATCTTAGCATTTACTGCATTTTTTTTACAACTGCAAATAGATGTGTCCAATGACATATCTGAATGAACACTTGGATGTTAGTATCTTCTGAAACTCTTTTTCAGTCCAGTCCAGTTCGGGAAGATATACTTCCCAATGTGCAAGCCTGCTCAATGTGTTGCAGGGGGGAAAAACTTGTCCTGAACAGTTTTTTCAATGCTGCATATTAATTTTCCTGTTGAAAAAGGGTTTTGCCAGAATGCCCTGGCAACCATGAACACCTGCTGTTCAGCTGTTTTATTACCACTCAGCTTGATCCTCTGTTGTTCCTTCTCCAACCTCCTCTGCATTCAGAGGTGAGGTGGGTGGTGACCTGAGGCAGGGACAGTGTTAGGAAAACTCAGCCTGTGGAGGTTCTGTATTTTCAGTACCAAGGTAAAGACTTTTTATTTGTCCAAGCCCCTTAGAATCTTGCTTTACACTTTTTTTTTCGATTTATTTCCTGCCTTTTTCCTACAAAGGGCTCAAGGCAGCTTACATCATTCTCCTCCTCCATCTTATCCCCACAACAACCCTGTGAGGTAGGTTGGGCTGAGAGTCTGTGACCGGCCCTAGCCTGACACTTGCTAATGCCATCCCACTCTGCTGTTTTTGCATACAGTTGGCTTTTGGTTTGGACTACTCTTAGCCACAGAGTCTTTGGACTGAAGAGTGGGGAGCAAGTATGTTGCACAAGCCGGAGAGACCGTCGCCCCGGGTCAGTCGGTGGCGGGGTTTGATCTCGCGGAGCACTGGGAGAGCGAGGAAGAGCGGCAGAGAGCAAGGGCAGAGCAGTGGAGCAGCAGCTCACCTGCTGTGGCCACTTGTGGGTGGCTACTCCAGGACGGCCCCTCCCAGCACACTGGCCCATTTCCCTTCCACCCTGGGCGACAGCCAAAGGGCAACGCGCGTCGGGCCTGAGACTCTGGCCACTGGGTGGGTGGTTTGGACTTGTAGGCTACATGATGATAACGAACGGTCTAACTTTACTTCTTCGTAAATTCTTTGTACTGCTGTTATTGCTTTAGAAATAGTATGAATTCTGTAAATGGTTTATCGCCTCGTGCAGCTGTTCTCCTTTTGTCTTGTTTTGACCTCTTGTACCTTGTTTTACATTGCATTTTATTGTAATTTTGTATATTGCATTAATGTAGTTTGAAAACCACCCTGAGAGCCTTTCATGGCTAAGCAGAAGTATAAAATGGCAATAACAATAATATTAAAACAGTAGTGGCAAAAATGGTCCAAAGCAAGTCAACAATGATAAGCTCTGTAACGTGTTTTTAAAAGGATGCACTGGGTAGTAGCACTACATAGATTTCTACTGGACTTGTTGGCCAAGCATGAGATTACTTTGTTCTACTTGTGTGCCTGGTCAAATGGGAAGATTCAGATAGCCTGCCTTGAACCTAGTAAAATGCCCTGCTCAACACTCTGCTAAAGAGAGATAAACATATCTGTGACCAGAGCTACATCCAGGTCATCTGCTTGTTCCCAAAACATTCAAAATATCTCTTGGTGCCTTCAACTCTTTAGCAGGGTAGGGTTCAGTACTTCATGGTAGCTTTTGATATGGATAGTTTTTGTGAATCTTTTTTTTGAAAATTTACCACTTAGCTATCAGAACTGGCAATTTTGCTACAGCAATTTGCTTGGCTCTAGCCATCCAAATGTTAGCTTTTCAAAAGTCTAAGTGAGGAGCCGAAGGGAAGGGCAAGATCTCTGTGACTTGAAGCCCTTTGAGAAGGGCTTACATGAGTTTAATGCATAGCCACATGATGGGATGGCTATTTTGTGGAGTTACAGATACCCCACGTTACATAAATGCAGTCAACAGCTATTCTCTCAATAATCTCATCCAGCGATCAAGTTCAGTTCTCAAGAACCACATAGAGTCATTTCCGACTTGCATTCCACACTTTGACTGCACTTCTGCCTGTTTGGTAGAACCTGATCATGGACATCTCCCACTACTAAAATGCAAATTTAAGGTTTATGGAGATGAGTGGCCCCTCAACGTATTATATTCTACCTGGCCTGTATTGTATCTGCTTTCAACCCAGTCCTGTTAAAACAGTAGATCTCTAGCTGGAAACAAGTGGGGAGGAAATGGCTCCCTTGCTGGAGTCAATGGAGGCTTGGAGATACCTTGAAAAGGTACAGCACACTCAGAAGTCGGTTCAACACTTAACATTCAGAGAATTTCATTGCTAAGGGAGAGAGATTCTTTGCTTTTGGTGCACCCCCCCACCTGTGCTTTTCAATTGACAACCTGGCAAATGGAACCCTGCAACTTGTGTAAATTAGATTATATGCAGTCTTGCTTCCTCATCTGTTACCTCCCCCATTTCCCTGCTTTCCTGATAGCTGAAACAGACAAGGAAGTTGATCTGGCAAGACTGCACTTATCAGACAACCCTAAGAGCACGCTTGCAAAAGATAATAATTAACACATTACTAATCCACTTGTGTAATCTTCTGGGAGAAAAACAAAAGCAGTGAACCACTGATGGTTACCCCCAAATGCCACTCAGGCATGTGCAAAGGGGCAGTAATGGGCAAGATCACGAAGGGCTTTTGCTGCTCCTGCTCCCTGGCTCACCAGCCTATCCCCACCACCCACAATAAAACTGCTCTCCTTTGATCCAGTAGCACAACAACCCACTGTAGATTCAACAAGTCCTAGAACAAGTCATGGATTTTCATGGTGGCTTGTTGCTTCAGAACAGCCACCCTGTGGAAGCAGCCTGTTTAAGCTGCATAACAGCCCACCATGGCTAGTTATCCACAATGAGCCGCCATGTTGTGTGAACTAGATCACAGTGGCTGGAGTTAATTCAAGTGGAGATTTTATGTTAACAGATTATGTTGTATGATTTCCCAGATAGATCTAGCCTACCAGAAAGAGCAAATGTAAGATAGCTGACTGCTGGAACTTTTGAAATGGCCAAGCTCCTATTCAGACACATTGATGCCTATATAAACAACTTTTCCAGGCAAAAACGTTCCTCCCAAGGAGGAAAACACTTTTTATGTGACAAAGGAGATCCTATTGCAGCGAGTCTTCTGAAAGAAAAAGCAGATTACTTACTTCTCTTGATATAAACTTCTTGCATTTTTGCCTTTCAGTCTGAGAGATAAGTCAGTTCCAGCAGTCCTTACATTATGCAACTCCCAAATTTACCCAAGAGGTGTAAAATAACCTTTCAAATTGCCTGACTAACGAACAAGATCAGAATGTCTGTGTCTGGGAATGGAAGACCCAGAGCAGCCCATTTTATTGGCTTTTCGCTTTACGTGGGCCTCTGCAAACCACAGCCAAAGGCAGGTGTGACATACTTTTCACTTCGCAGACATGCCACAAAACGCTGTTTCTTCTTTACATTTTCAATAAACAGCTTCCACTCTCTTGGGAAGCTTGTCATGCTTTGGCCAATTTTAATCTTCAGTGCAAGGCCACAAACACAGATCTACACAGGGGAAAGGGAGCATCAGCTGCTAGGAGGGCCAAGGCATTTTTGCAAATAAAAAAACTGAACACAGAAAGACCCCCTCCTCCATGGGGGCAAAGTGCTGGAATGGTTTCTGATGGCAGATGTTCCTTGGCTAAGAGCACCGGCCGAGAAATGGAAAGATGGGAGGGTGGGAGCAAGGCAAGTGAGCTCCAATTCTTTTTTTCAGATAGTCAGCTAAAATATCTGCCAGAGGAAGAGGATGCTTCCATCTTTTAGCATACAGGCAGGTATAGGCGGTTTGTTACCTCCTTAAGTCTGCAATCCTACACCCTAATTAGGACTAAGTCCCAGTGGATTCAGTGGGCCTTAGTGCTGAATAGAATTATAAATACATTTTAAGCATTTTTACACTGTGACTGGTCCCCTAGGGAAAATATGGACAATACATGGTTGTGTTCCTGTTCCCTCCAAGGCAAGGTTTGGCAAACTGGGTTGGTCCATCCTAAAATGAAGGCACTGATTAGCCACATACTAATTTTATGTACATACATAATCTTATGGCAATTATACACTTCCCTGAAGTCATTTTGTAGATGTTTCTGATAAAAGTTTGTTCTCCATGTAGGCGAAATTCATTTTGGTTTGATTCTGCTCAGGATTTATCCAGTTCACATATCTTGAACTGACCATGGACTTGAAAGAAATCTGCAATCAAGTCTGTACAGACTCAAACTTGCAGTGTAATCTACGGAATAAAAACGTCTTTGACAACATGTATAATTAGGAAATAGTGTATGAAAAAATGCATACAGGCAGTCCCCAAGTTACTAATGTCCGAGTTATGAACAATCCATACTTACAAACTACTTTGAAGTATATTAATTTAGAAAAATTACTGTGGAAAATTGTCATCACCATAGAGCTAAAGGAAGTAGAAGGGGAGAAAAGGGGGCCTCCAAAGCAGGCCTTCCTGTCCCACCCATCCAGAGACGGAAATCATTCCAGCATTTCCTTGCTGCAAATGATTGAGCAAGGTGGCACTGTTGAGCTTGGCTGGGGGTGGGGGACTAGAGATATTTGCCATTTTTCCACAAACTTTCATGGGGGTCCTGCACCCCTAAACCCCACAAATGTGGAGGGCCAACTATATGTGGTCCGACATATATACAAATTTGACTTGAAAACAAATTCTCATCGGCACTTCTAAAAAGAAGGCACACAAATGTATTTTAAGCAATGAGAGAAGAATGTGTCCATCTCAACAATGCATACTAATAATGCAGATGTTTTGAAAATATGCATGAAAATACATGCAAACTTTTATGCAAAAAGAAAAGAATTATGGCAACTTTCTGGATAAAAGCTTTGTGGTGGAACTATCAGAAATTCCATGAGCTCCAGACTGGCTGCTGCCCACATCCCTCTTAGAATTCTTAAATCCTATGCTTGCTTATCCTGGGGATTAATGAGAAGGAATAAAAATGTTTCAGGAATCCATTGTACCTTGAATATTTTGAAAAGGCTTATAGACATTTATATGTTTCCTATGACCTGTACTAGGTCCATTAATTTGGCAGAAAGGAAAGCAGAAATTGTTCAGGTGAATAAATAAAATATGCTGAAATAAATAGAAAATGACAGAGGCCCATGTCTGGTTGCCACTGCTTCCCATGATAAGGGACCAAATAAACAGTGCCCGGGTTGCATATCTAAGATATGCAGGAATGGGCAGCAGGGATCACAATTCATTGCAAGTATCCAGTAACCTGGCAGCAACACGATAGTAACCAGACAGTCACACCCGTCTGCTCACAACAACACTCTAGGATTCTTTCCATAAGCAAGCCAAGGCTGTGGATTCACGAGAATTAAGCTGAACAGCCTCTCTCTCTCGGAACCTCTTTGGCAAGGTTTGTTTTCTGCTCCTGATGCATAATGGGAAAGCAAGATGGTGCTCTCCCACTGCCTCACAGAATCTTCTCTATCTCCAGCATCTCCAGATGAGTATGGGTAGACTCATGTTTATACACAGTTAAATGCAATGAAACCAACCTATGTAGGCCCAAATTTTCTTATTACCATAAGAAAATATTGCTACAAAGAAAAATGATCACGCTGCCTGTACTTTGTAGCAAGGTGTTCTTCCAGCTTATGTTCTGTCAAGTTTTAAGGCTGGTTTTGCAGGCATGTATGAATTCAAAATGCTCCTGTTTTGCACTTCGGGTGGTATCCAACAGGGCCACTCTGCATCATCGGGTCTGTTGTGCCTGTGGAAATGACCTCCAGCATGAAGAGGCTTCCTCAGTTCTAAAAATAACTCTGGAAAGAAGCAGAAATGCTCATTTCCCAATTGGGACAAGACGACAGAGCTCCCTGCGGCAAGCTCCGCTAATCAAACCAAGTCTTGGAAAGAGCGTTTCTTCTAGGATCCATGAGCTTATGGGCACAAGTAGTGCTGGCATACAAATGCAGGCAGGTGGCTTTATTTCTGCTCCAGGATGCTTAAGTTAAAACACCTTTATTCCATGTTGTGCATATTCTCACTGGCTTGTTTTGTAGTATTTTTATTTTTACTCTTTTGGAAAGCTATGCTAAGTAATGGTGATCTTACAACTGAAGGATGGGACATAAATTATAAGAGCATAAATAGATACATCCAGGAAGCCACAGTATAAAAGAGGAAAGCCACACAGAAGAAGCCCAGTAGAAAGCTATTCTTGTCACACTATCACACCGACAACTGTGTTGTTGATGCTTAGGTAAAAGGCAGTTTTGGCTCCTATTCAGAAAACAAAGCCCACAAATGGGAAGAAAGGACAGGGCATCAAGCAGAAATCAAGCTCAGAACAACACTTTGCTAAAAACTGAAGCACAAGATGCAGGCAGAACTACAGTAACCCTTTGTAACAATAAATAGGTTCAGACTACCCAGTAACCTACACTCAAGCAAGAAGTGTGCTTGTTGTTGCACCACAAGTTGTCACTGAAACATGAGTTATCAAGTTATCTGGACCCAGCTGAAATAACAAATCACAGTTCACAACACAACAAACCATGGGTTTCCTAAAAGTTTGTTCATGGTTAACAAGCCAGGGCTTCTTAGCACAGCTGGATTCAGACAACATCAGAGTCCACCTTCTAACACGGCATGGTTCAGTGACAACCCACAGGCATACACAACCCAGCCTATGAGTAGAACCCTGCCTGCAGGACAGCACACAGGGTCTGGCTGCTAACAAAGTGTGCTAGCCAAGGAAAAAGTGGCCGCGTGCGGTGGCAATGGAAGCTTCCCTTGAGGGCAAACAATGACTTGGGTGCCATGGAAGTACCAGCAGTTCTGTGGGACTTCTTCTCACCACCAACCTGGCCAGGCGGCAGAAGCATCTTGATGCGCCACTTGGCCTTCTCACAATGCAAGACCATCTTCTCCTGAGGTTACCACTCGTTTGTAGTGACCTCTTCCAACATGCTCTACCTCTCACAAGCTGCCATTTGTTCCCATAAGAAGTGTTCACAAATACATACGAGGATGTCCACCTGGTCATGACTCCTGGTCTCAGTGGACTCTCAATGACTGGTCTCATAACTTGTCTCAGTGGAGTTTGCTTAAGACTACTTTCCGCTAAATTGGGTCACTGCGGCCTGGGCATACTATTCAGAACACCTGGTCCAAAGCCAACCAAAAATCAATGGTTGCCCGCAGTTTTGGATTCAGACCCTGGACGATAGTAAGCTGTTAAATCTTTTGCTAATCTACTGCCATTTTTTTCTGTATCTTTCAGATCAGATTTCCTATCAGCCATTTTAAATGTTAAAATGATAGATAAGGAAGACAGATTCTCTCTGTTTACAATAAAGGTGTGTGTGTGTACGCGTGAGTATGATCAAACCATGGTTTATTTTCCGCAGTGTCACTCTTAGTTCATATTGTTACATCAGTTAATCCTACAGCACATCCTTCTTCTGGCCACATAATTATCTTGCTTATCCCGTAACTTGCCTTCTGTTGCCCCAGGCAAGAGTGAACAGTAAATAAACTGTCAAAGCTTTAACCAGTTAAAGCACTTTAAATAAAATGAGCCCTCTAGGAAAAATAGAGCAGTGAAGGAAAAGCTGTGCAAAGGTACCTTCCTTCAGCCACTCAGTGTAACACAATGACTGGGGAAGGAAATAAACCAGAATAGCCACCATTACCTTTGCCGGATGCCTTCTGTTGTGTCATCCCAACCCAGTGAGGCTGGCTTTGCAAACCACCCTGGAATCCATGGCTTCTTCTAGGGTTGTGGGGTGATTTGTAAGGCAGCCCTGCCCCCTACTCTCACTGAGTTTGGATAACATAAACAATTCCCAGCAAAGGTAATTATGGTGGTGTGAAACCAGAATGTACAAGGTGGAAAAATAAGCTGTGGTTGCCCTGATCATGTGAACCTGCCCATCACATTTTCCTTCAAGGCAACCCTCAAGAACACAACAGTGTGTAAATGTACAACACATAAGTTAAACTTCTGCACATATGTTTGAATTTGCACCAGTTGTGCAATTAAAATAATGTTTTTAATTAATATGGGAATAGCTTCTTGATTAGAGCTGGATACTACTAACCAACATAAACAATTTACAGAAGTGACACCAATTACTGGGTTGTCCTCCATCGTGCAGGATCTGAACAGATGCAACTGAACTGAACTAACCTGACTGACAATGAAACAAGTTTTGAAAACAAAATGGCTCCCATCCAAGCCTCTTGAAGTCAACCTCAAAACTACTATTTAAAAGTTCAGGACTGTACTAATACATAGAGTAATAGTTTTCTTTCCTTCCTGGTCAACTTTTTAAAGTGGGCATGACACACAAACTATTTATTAGCTCGGGCTTTGTTCTACATGAGTGTTTCACATACAAAAGGGAGATCTCTGAATTACCTAAACCAGTATTTTACCTGAAGCTTGACCCAGAACAGAATCCTGCCTGTCACCTTCGAAAATATAATCACTTTGCTGTCAAAATCACATCTGTATGGTCAAGTTCTTAAGGTGACAGAAGCAGCTGGAAATCAAAGCCAGCAAGCATCACCCTTCAGTATACAAATAATGGAGCAGAAATACAGCTGGGACCCCTCACAAACTTCTTGTTGGGGGGAGGGGTTGCTTAGTTTACTTCGCTAGACAAAGTGGAAACAACATGGGGAATTTGACTTGTGCAGTCATTTTCCTCAAGAAAAATTTTCCTCAGAGCTCATCCTTTGGAAAGGCGCAACACAGGAAAAACGCAATGGATGCTCCAGTAATGAAACACGGTGACTGCAATCCAGAATCTTTGACAGAGAGGAAGGTGAGTTCTATGCATGTACAGTGCTTTGCCAAGTTTGCACATATGTGATTAGAACCACTACATATGAGGTAATCTGCATCTTCAACGTTTCCAGCCCCGTTGAATACGTTAGTACACTCAGCTGTTTATTAGTTCCAGATTAACAAATAAGAATCTAATGCAAATTTCATGTTAAGGTAATGGACTAATTCTACTTTGTTTACATAGGGAATAATTGCTCCTATTGTGATCACCTATCTAAGCTGCAGTAAGAAAGAAGCAGCCATGTATTAGTGCCTCAGCTTCATGGAAGTGATTACAAATAAATGGCCGTGCCCTTGGACAGAGGAGGGCAGCTGCTGTCCAGATGAACAATGCAGCAACAGAAGCCAGTAGCATGTCACCTGCCCAGTAATCCAAGTAGCACACCGAAAACTTCATCCTACAAACATTATTTTACTGGTGGCCAAACAGTCTTTCATCACTTCAGACAGACAAGATAATCACAGAATGTAGCACATGAACTGCAGGCATCAGAATATGAATTCCTGGGAAACACAAGCAGGAGAAGGCTGCCACCCATCATGACCTGCTTACACGTTTCCCATAGTCATCACTTCCTATAGGCTGGGATATGTAGCAGAGCTCTTAGGCTAAACATTTCTGCCTTGGTAACTAACCTTCCTAGTTTCCCATTCAATAGACTGCATGAAGTGGCCTTATATGGAGCCAAGCCATTGGTCTTTTGAAGCCAGTATTGCCTGCAGTGACTGGCAGTGGCTGTCCACAGTTTTAGGAGTCATTATCAGCCTCTCCTCTATTTTTTATGTGACTGAAGAAGCCAAGGATTGACCCCGGGACCTTCCATTCTTTAAGTCAGAAACTTTTTATTGTGAGACAGGGCTGAAAGTAATACCTGTAACATGGCTAGTGATGCTAAATGAACTGCCTAAGGAAATGTATTGTGTGAGGCGTATTTCACCACTATATAAATGAAGTCTATAGAGGAAATCGTGAGAAAAGGAAAATAGTGCTTTCAGTTTCTTTCCCCCCGTTTACATCTTATGATATCAAATATGTCTTTTTCAGGCTGCTGAAGAACAAAAATACCACTTCTGAACTACTGTACTAATAGTCAGAACGTTAGCTATTGTTTTCTTCACTGTTTCTTATGTTTGGAAATTTCTTGCCATAAATATATTGCGTCCAATCACAAAGCCAGTTTGTGATCAAGTCCTAAATCAAACATCACTACTTTTTTTCTTTGCACAATGAAATGAAACCTTCAACTTTTTAAATCAATTGAGTATCCTAACTAGTAAAAAAAGTTATCTCAAGTAAAGAGCCTTTAAAAAATTACTTTTACCTGAAGTGGGCTACCTGATGCCCTATTTTTATGTAATGCGACTAATTTGTGAGTGTTGTCCTCTTCTGATGCAGGCATCTTTAAACCAGAACTGGTAAGAAGATTCTGAAGAAACAATAAAAGGAGTTGCAATTTCAATAGGAAGAATGGATTGATTATTTGAACTGACAAATAATGTTTCCAGAATTTTAAAGAAACCCTGTGCAAGGAGACTACCACACAGTCTCTGATGAACTGATTCAAGCTCAATTACCAGGAAGGAATTTTCAAATGGAACTTTTGTCTGCATGAATTTGTGAATTGCTTTGTGGTTAAGTCATATAACGGAACTGGATTGGCTTCAAGGATTCCTGGCATTCTCAAGGTATAATCAGGGAAATTATCCTGAAGCAACTGGAGAGGCTGCACATATCAATGATCAGAAAATTTAAAAAAACATATTTGGTGGGAGGGCTTAGGAAGTATTTCACTCCTGTAGAGTATCTTGTACGGCATGACTATGTGCACACTTTTTGGGGACTAAGTTCTTTGAACTTTTGGAACTTGTACAATCCCAATTAAAGCAGCATCGCATGGGCTGTCAGATTTTCCAATCACAATGGGAGAGTTTGTGCACCATGACAACCCATCATGGTGATTTACCACAATGGGCTGGTTGTTCTGTGAAGGACTCATGGCAAAGCTAACAGATGATCTCCTCACTTCTCAGCAAGATCCTCAAATTTATCAGTCCCCTACTTTAGCGCCAACTGGGGAGCTGCTAGAGCACTTTTAATAGTCTTCTAGGTGCTGGAAAATACTAGAAGTACATGTCCTCCCTTTTCCAAAGGGAAACCAAGCTGCAAGTTCACGGACAGATGGCTGTCAAACTCTGAGCTTGGGTGGATTTCTAAGTTTGCCCAATTCCAGTCCCTGAGATAACCCTCAACACCACCATGAAACCTCAATTTTAAAAACTTCAATTAAAACTCCAATTAAAGACAATTTAATTTTTGTGTGCCCAGCTTTGGGAGCACAAAAATAAAAAAGAGCACCAGGCAGCTCCTTTAGGCAGTGGCACTTTGAAAGGGACATTGGTGCCTGCCCAAATGGGAAACAAGCCAGCTGCTACACTAGGTCTCCGGATCGATGAAAAAATTAACTGCTCTGCACTGCAGTAGGAATGGGCAAGGCATGTGCAAACTACATATACATGCTGCTTGGAAACTTGGGGAGTGCCCAGCACTGGCTAAGGGTAACTCTGAAGAGCAGCAAGGGGTTTCTTGCCACTCCTGTTAAGCAAGTTGCTGGCCATGGATCTTGACCCACAATGAGTTCAGAAGAAACAAGAACTGGTGGATCTTTGTCTCATGCAAATCCAGTCATTTCTATTAAATGAATTATAAAGCTCATCTTCAGCAAACTAGAAACATATAAACTTAACATTTGAGCAGCCAGATATACAGATGAGGATTAAAATGGGGACAAAATACTTAACTATTTGTATTTTACCTGTATTGCATTTTAACTGATATTGTATATTTAGGAATGATTTATGTTTTTAGTTTCAGTCAGTTTTTTATTATGGTTTTAATTTCTGACTGTGAATCACGTTGAGATGTTATGGCACAATAGGCAGCATACAAATATTTTAAATAAATATATGAACTAGTATTTTCCTTATCCTATGGTTGATGATACTTCATGTATACTGATTCAAACTACCCAATAAAACTGAAAACACCTAAACAGTTAAATTTGGTAATTCTGACTCTACAGGAACAACACAAAATAAAGGTCAAATAATCAAATTAACTTAACTACAGGTAATTGGCTAAATTGATTTGAGATTAGATTATACTATGTTCTAATCCCTTTTATATTTTGAAAATAGATTATGACATTTACAGTGGATATTTGGCAAGGAAACTTGTCATCATCTAATGATGCCACTAACTTCAGCACACACTCCAGAAACCACATTAAAAGCTGCATATTGTACCAATTTGGTATTTTTATGTATAAAAAAAGAAATGAAATGAACTAAAGAAGTACATTGTTGCTTCTGTTAAACCTAGAAGCTCCCTAGGCTGCTTATAACAGTAGTAATACAATCATACCCATGGCTCAACTCACCCATGCAGAATTAGTGAAATTTCAACATGCCTTTCTTGAACTATGCATTTTATGTATCACTTACACTGTAGAAGCAGAGTGGACAAAGTAAGAGCAGCAAGGGGGACACCATCCAGCCTGCCAAGAACTGGGTGGGATGCAGGAAATCATCTAGATTTTGCAGGACAGCCAATGTGTAGGTGAGTCTCCACTTGGCAGTGGCAAGGCAACACAGTGGGAGACCAGTCCTGGAGTGCTAGATCTGCTCCTTGTCTACCCCAACTTCAAATTAGGCAGAATTATATAAAAAAGACAAGATTCATGACACCAACACGTACTGGCACATCTTCCACAGCAGGTGCATATGTGAAGAGCTGTGTGTTCAGACTGTCTCCTTCCCAAGTGTTTGAACAAAAGAAGTTTCCTGTTTTACCTGTTGGAGACTCCACCTGCAAGCAGAAAAAGAAACCATATTTTAGATGTAAAACTGCAGCAAGTAACAGTTTTTATGCCTGCTTAGCAGTAATCATACTTTCAGATGAATTTTACCCACAGCACAAGTTAGCTTGGTTGGAGGCAAAACATTCTTAGAGTCAGTCTGTACATGACGTAACACTGAGGCGTAACATTTTTGAAGGAATGTAAACCATCATTGAAGCCCTTTGTATGTGATGAAAGGGTCTTGCAACAATAGACCACAATGAAAAATGAAACATGAGATAAGGGTACATAACTAGATAAAGCTTGAGTCACAGACTTTCATATTCCTGAAAAACCTACCAAAATTGAATGGAACCATTTAAAGATTGCATCCCCAACTATATAACAAAAGATATTTTTCAGTAATTGGTTTACAAAGTTGGACATATTTTATAGCATGTAAATTAATACAGATTGGTAAATACCAAAATTACCTAATCTCACTAAAAATCAGGCAATGACAAACCATTTGTAAAAAAAAAGCAACTGAGTTCTCTGAAATTTGAAAACAGCAGGGCTCTCCCTGTGATTTTAATGGTTCATTCAACTTACTATCCTTTTCCAGATAATGCCCCTTCCCAGATGGTTCAATTAATATTGTTTGCTTCCAACAAACCATGCTTTAGCAACACTTTGATTCATTTCTTGACATCTTGATAAATGGAATATGGCAGGTTCTTTTCTGAAACCAATTCACCAAAACTGGTTTCCTGCTGCAATGAGTGAATTGATTTAGGGACATTTCTTGGAAAACGGAGTTGAATTTAATGTGACCTTTTAAGTAAGTATAATCTAACTTGCCTCCTGCTTGATTTTCTTCAGCAAAGGGGATCCACTTTCACATAAACCAGGTACAATGCTGGATTCATCAGACTCTTGTTTGATAACATCTTGCAGATCATCTACAAGGTGAGTCGATGTTTGGGGCTAAAAGGAAAAGACAAGTTTGTCCTGAAGCAACAGGGAAGTCTGCAAAGCATTCTCGTATGACTCCAAGTTATCACTGTCCCTTTTCTCTTACCAGCATTTTTAAGGGTCCATATTTGAATTCTTGAGCTGCAACTACATTTTTAAATGGAGTAGGTGTTCTTGGAGAACTTTCCAGTATTGATCTTTTGATAGCTGGAGTTCTGAAGCTGAGCCCATGATATGAACAAACAGAATGAAAAAAAGATACAGAAAACAGAGTGAATCACTTTGCGGTGATCTTAGTTTAGTGTAACAGTTAAAAGGGTGAACTAGATGTGGTGTGCCAAGTACCAGGATCCAATTTCCTATCTTTAGAATGGGAATAATCACTGGCCTTCCTTTAGGGGGTGTTCTATAAATTACTGATACAATGTCTACAAGATATTTAACCTTTTAGTAGCGAAACTATATAAACATGAATAGTGATTCCACATTATGCAATGCTAACCTGAGGTAAGAGACAACAGTAAGATATATTACTAAACCAGCTTCTCCACCTCCGTGTGCTCCAGATGCTTTGGACTTTAATCTCCCATCAGTTACCATTCGAAAGCCCGATGGTCAGGGGTGCTGGGAGTGGTAGTCTAAATTGTTTTAAAGGCATCAGGTTGGGGAAGGCTCCTCTAAAGTAATGCCCTGAACTTATGCTAAAGCACAGGCTCCTCTACACATCTAGCAGCCCCACTCAGGTCAGTGGAAGGGCCAGTCAAGTGAGCAAAGAAAATGCTGGGTTGTACTGCTCTTTACTGAAATGAATTTGAAAGCTTGCTTACACAGCAATTCCATATGCACACCAAAAAACAGCAAGCTCTCTGGAAAAAGGAGATCCCATATACCGGTGCAAAGCCAGGATTAGTGCTATGATAGCACAGCAAAAAGTAGGGCTTTTAAAAGTTAAGACTTACACATTGTTTTCCTTCTGTGTCTTAAAAGCTTGGTCTCTGTGAACAGGTGTTGTAACAGTGACTTTATGGGAACAGAGGGGAGTAGAAGTTAAAGTAGGGTTGTCCAGGTCTAGACTTTCTTGGCTGGATGAGGTGTTCAAGAACTGCAAAGATTACCAGGAAAATATCAGTGTAAAATATGCATCTGGCTTTTTAAAGCAATTTTACCAAAATGAAGGAAAGAAATAAAGAAAAGTAATTTCAAGATAAATTAAGAGTGCTTCTACTGACTCATGGTGCAATGGTGTGCATCAGTTCTAATGTCACACTGTGTGGCAAAAGCATGATGATGTATTTTGGTTGCACTACTCCTGATGGAAAATTCTAGTGCTTGAGGCCATACATCTTTTTTGGGTTCTGTACCAAGATTATTTATAGAAACTAAGATTTGTTGCAACCCACTGAACTTCAGTGGAAATTTGGCTATGCAAGGAATGAAAAAGTTGGAGTTTCCCCACTGAAAGGTAATGAATCTTGTAGCATAAAGTCTCCTTTTTGAAATGAAAAAGGAAAAAAGAACATTCCTCTTTTTCTATTACAAGAGAGTGCTTCACTTGCATGATATAGAAAATAAAGAATGCACAGAGTTTTCCTGTTGCAATTCTTTAGCTTAGTGAGCAGGGGCTGCTACTGCAGAGTTTAGGAGAAAGAATTTCACTAAAAATAAAAATGAACTCATGAACCCATTATACTTTTTACAGTTTAAAACAGAATCTAAGAACAACTTTTAACTCTGCTTGACAAGATAAAGATAATTTAAGTACTTGCTGCACAGCTCCTCCCATACTATCCAGATTTTTTCATATCATTATATAGTTGATTTTTAAAATCAGTTGTTAGTTTTGTAATAAAATGCTAATACTGCCTGTTTAGTCTGAATTTTTTGTGTGAGGAGTCAGTGAACCATACTGCAAAAAGATGGAATACTGAAAGAAATGCTTATAGAAAACAGAGGCGTTAAATTCTGATAGCTGAAGGAATTAATTTTTTAAAAAAAGAGTAAAGCAAGCAAACCTTGAACCCCTTCAAAAACACCAAGCATTAGACACACAGGGTAAAAAATGATCTGTTAGATTGCTGGCAGTCTACGGTGAAGAGAAAGTGCTATGAGGAGATTCAAAATTGGAATGCAATCAATGAGTGCAACAGGAATTAGTCATTTGTTCCAAAGATTAGCTTCTCTATGTTGTTAAGACCTTGCTGACTGAGGATTAGTAACATCTGTGCAGAAATCTTGCTCTACCTGCGAGGGAGAGAATGGCAGGCTTTTGACAGGGGAGCGCTTAGGAGATGAGCTGCTGACATCAGCAATTATGAAGGACTTATTACGGCCACTGGCTAAGTGGCTGGGATACCCTCTCTTGGTGCGCAGAATAACCAACGGAGCTGTGCCACACTTGGAGCCAATCAAGGATTTTGCCAAGGCAAGGGAATCCTGGCACAACATAGTTTTGCTCAAGTCTGAGAGAGCGTATCCTTCGGGCCTACAAGCGCTGGCCTCTGTTTGCTGAAGCTGTGGGGCTTTGCCTGAGGGAACACGGCTAGGCGAGGTGTCTGCTTCTTCAGAGAATTCAAAAGTGCTGAGATCACCCCATGACGAAGGATCCTGGAAACAGTGGGGGAAGCCACGAATCTATGAGACAGTGTGTGATGCTCCCTTGTTAATAACAAAAGCACACAGTGACAGCACCAACATAACTACTTTGATCAAAGGGAAAGAAAGTCAAGGGGAACAAGCAATAGCTCCTTGTTTTTATTCAGTTTGGCCTAGTGCTATCCCAAAGGGAAAAATTAAGCACAAACAATCATAATGGGAATTCCTAAAAGAAGTGAGCCTCTGTCCTTGCTAACAGCACAACCAGCAAGAAAAAAGTCCTTTTGCCCCTACACACAAATGTGCTGTGTGACCAAGCTGCACTTACGAGAGCCGTTTTAAGTAAAAAAGATGTATCAGCATCCAAAACACAGATCCAATGAAGGCAACTATCAATGCATACCCTTATAAGAGAACTAAAAACACACAGTTTCAGTATGGTTACATTTAAATCTACAATTTGATTTATTAGAAAGCACACTATATCTAGAAATCATTTTAAAATTTTATTTTAATTTACCAGCAAATGTGTGCCCTTTGATGTTTAATATGCAAACCGGCAAGAGCTGCTATCATGGTGCGATGCATGCTTATTAAAGACGAATGTTTACCTACGCTTGATAAATATCAGAACCCAAACAACAAGCTAGGCCAGTATGCTGATCCTACTCACATTTACTCAGAAACAAGCCCTATTTATTTCAGCAAGGTTTACTTCCAAGTAGGCATGCTGTAACTCTCGTTCTGTGTTATGAAGCCTGCAGCCCCCCACTCTGCAAAATAAAAAGCATGTGGCAGGAGGAAACCTACTGCCTGCATTGACAATGGATATACAGGAAAAAGTAATGGCGCAGAAATAGCCCCCTTTCTGCCCTAGACTATCTACAGCTCAGAAAATGGCAACTCTACTTACGGAATCTATAAGCTGAAGTGTTTCCGCAAATTCTAAGAGATTCTTAACATTATCCAGGAAGTTACTCTGGTGAACGATCATGCACCTTGCAGGAGATGCACTTTCCTCAGGCAAGCAGCCGTGGTCAACCGGCGGAGATGGAGTGCAGTGCTGATGCTCCCCCAAAGCGGAAATGGGTGCACTATTACCACTAGTTCTGGTACTGTCTGCAATGGTGGTGCTGTGCCATCCTGGGTAATCTGATGTATGATTCTGTGCCTAAAGGAAGGGGGGAAGCAGGGGGAGAGGAAGACAGAGAGGCAGAAGGAACTTAGCAATGAAATTGCACAAGGTATCAGATGGCTGTTGAAGGAAAAGATAAAAGTGGTTGCATCATCTAAGCACTTAATGCCTATGAAACAGTTGTCAAGATGTTTCCTTTCATCAGTGCAGCAAGAGCTTGTTTGAAAGGAGAGTAAATTTATAGCTCTCATTTTGGCATTACCTCACCTTGTGCAACAACTCTGCATCCTGGGCAAGTATCTAAAGCATAAAAGGCAACCCAGCTATACTCATCCGTTGTTCCTTCGAAGTCCATAAAGTGCCTTGATCTTTTTTTTGCCGTTGAGGAGTAAGGGAATGGAGGATTATTCTAGTGCAAACTCAACTTGGGCTATACCTAAGGATTTAAGATGGTGAAATCCACATTGCATTTGAGGTCACCAGAAAGTTTTCGATTGATTTTCATGATTTGGGTTAAAATCAGAGTTGCTTTGTTTGTAAGTTTGTTTTCTGCATCCCTTTGCTTTCCTCCTATGCCTGTCTAGTGTTACAGCTTACACCAATGCAATGAAAAGGCTGTAAAATCAATGTGGTTAGGAAAGCAGAAGAGCAAATGAACAGAAGTATCTTTCCAGTATAACCATGCAAGAGAAGGAATTGCAAAACATAAGCTAAAAATTAAAATTGGCCAGAACTAACATGTCATGCACACTGTTGTTTTCTAATTAACTAGAAAATGAATGAATGATTAATAGGAATTAATTACACACAGATGACCGTTGGCTACCACCTGTGTTTTTCTCAGTTCCCGTATTAATTGATTTGCTACTTCTCAGTACCTATACACTGAAATACATAATGTATAGAATTAGGTAACAGCCCAGTGTGGTCTCATACATGCAGTTACAGAATCTAACTTTCCTCAGAGAGAAACGTTATCAAGCATGCAAAAAATCTTGGCGTTACTTGGGCTATGATTCCCAAGCCATCTGGAGCTGGAAGAAGAGTTTACCAAGCCAAAGAAGCTAGACTGTGCACGCCAGCTTGTGTCCACAAGTGACAAAGGGAACAGGAGCTTGTGGCATCCTAAAAAGGAGTGTACAGGTCCTGAGGGATGGGTAGAAAAGTATGGCTGGGGGATCATGGGAGCTGTAGTCCAATACATCTGGAGGGAACAAGATTGGAGAAGGCTGGTTTAGCTGATTTGAAGCAGTAGCACTCCAAAACTTGGCAGTGGGGAGAAGCTGTTGTATACATACATGGGTATCCTTTAGAGTGGCATCTTCTCATCTGGACTTGAATTATGAAGCATTTGATCAAAAGGTTGGCCATAACTGAGCTAGACTATCTTCAGTGGCTTGAGGATCACAGGCCATAGGTGAAACATACAGCTGAAGGTAAGAAGGACAGCAGAGAAGAATGGTGGGGGGATGAAAGAACAGGCACTACATTTTCATTAAGTTTGGCATCAAATGGGGTGGGGGACTGACTGCCCCTATTCCAAAATGGTAAATGAGTGGGCACTGGTAGCAGTTATGTGCTATTGTAATTTGGGAAATGGGGAAAGAAAAGAAGCAAAGGCTTATGGCGGGGATGCGACATTGTGTCCTGTCCAAATGGAAATATAGGGCCTTGATTAGTGAAAGAAGGAAAGAGAAGGCAAAAAAAGGAAAGAGAAGCACTGGGGTAAAGCTGCTATCCCTCCATCCAAGCACAGGGTGACATTCTTACTGGTAATGCCTGCTGCCCTTTCAGTTCATTCTCAGTCGACATTAGTAGCAACTCTAATTCCTTTATTCGTTTCTCTTTCTCAGGGTCTTCATCATTATAGTGTCTCTGCAATTAAGAGTTAAGGGAAAAGAGAAAGTAAAGGCCTGGTTGGATGCTGGAATCATAACGATCATGATGGCTTGCTTGCCCATTTTGCAGAATTGCAGCCAAATTAGTTTGACAGGCTCCTTCAAAGATCAACCTCTCTGTTGAATTTTGTTCATGGGCATTAAAATGGAAAACATGGAGCAGATTTGATCATTCTCTGGATGTTTGCTCGGATACCTTTGGTCTGAAGGTACCAAACTGTCTTAAGTTTACTCATTTGAGTCTGAGACTGCTGGAGCAAATGCATTTCCTCCCTCATCATCTCCCACCCCTAGAAATGTCCAACCCCCCCACCCACAGTGCAAACCTAGCACTGTCTCTGCTCCTGGCTAATTGATAAGTCTCTAGAATGCTGATTCCTGTCCTTTCCTAGAGAAAATCACATCTCTTTCATAGTTAACTGTGACTCAACTTCATCAATGACAACAGGGATCAGCGTAAACCAGGTTTCCCTCAAATTGAGAGCTGAAACCTACCTCAGTGCAGCTCCAAATTTTGATCAAGGAAGAGCCCTGCTTTTGCCCTAATGGCTGCGAACTATTCACCTGGCTAGAGGAGGGGACAGCAAGAGGGAGGGGACAGCACATTCAAGTCTGGCACTCCATGCGCTTAACCCATGGCTAACCAGTTCCGTATCTGCTGGGCCCTTCTTCACTGTTCACCATGGTAAAAGCTGCCCCTTTGTCTTATTGGAAAGCAAAGCATTTGCATCTAACTTGCATCTGAAATGTACCACAAATTGCCACCTGAAATTATCTTTACAAATATCTACCTGAATAGCTGCCGCAGCTGGCTGAGGAACATTAACAATATTTACATGAAGTGCTACTGGATAAGGGATATGAGCTGAGACCTAGACCAAGAAAAGCAAAACAACAAAAAAGGCCAAATTATTTACGCCACTTACATTCTGCTCACTAACAAGGTGAGTTTAAATAAGCACACTAAGTGCTTCCTTCACCATTTACTTCCTTGAAATAAAAGAAGGATTTCCTTTCAATTGAAACAATTTCAGCAACCCTTTAAGAGTGAAGCTCTCAAACCACACTGCAGTGAAAATGTATCAAAAGCTTTGCTGGGTCAGAGCAATGGCACCTTCTGTCCAGCATGTTGTCACACAGTAGCCAACCAACTGCCACACAATCCCACAAGCCTCTACTTAACAAGACGGATGTTTCAGTATATCCAAGTAAAAGGTGAGAGCAGGCCTATGCATGATTTTTATCTCTCCAAAGGGGTAATAAAATAAATGCTGCTTGCAGCCTTTTCTTGCCAAAAGCATCTGACTGGCCACTGCTGCAAACAAGATGCTGAATTAGAGAGACCTTTCATCTCGTCCAGCAGGCGTTTATTGAGCCAGCTTTTCCTCCTCCCCAGAATTGACCAGATTGTGACAATCCATTGGTTGTCTTCTTTAAAAGAATGAAACAAGAACAAGCAAGCAAGAATGTAAACAGCGTATGGAGAAGCCATGCATGCTAGCTTGGGGGGACTGTGGTCTATGCTCCAGTCCACATATGAAGCATGGAAAAAAGATTGCTCGTTATCTTACACACAAGTACACCAACATGCTTCTTCTTACATCTCATGTAAGAACTTGTTACCACACGTCCCTGTGAGTTCTTGGGCAGAGTTTTGCAATCAAGAAAAGGCAGATGCTGTGAGCCAACTCCTCAAAATACTGTCAGAAAGGCAAAATTAAAAGCATAAGGAAAATGTGTTTAAATTGCACCCAGATGTCCTAATGCTTGACATTTTGTAACTACTGACAGCACTTTGAGTAGGTCCTTTCTACATTCTGCCGTATTTCCTAAGGGCTGTGGCATTCTGTAATCACAGAATTGTGTGTTACTGATATGAAGAGAGGCAGCTCAGATGGGGTTTTATTACAATAAATTTCCTTCAATTCATATAATCTAGTAAATAATGAACATATATTTATAATTGCTTACAGGGTTGAGTCCAGATTTAGTCATACTTAGGGCAGACCCACTGAAATCAGTGGGACTTAGGTTAATAATAACTTAAGCTATTGTTTTCAATGGATTAAATCTTAAGGATGACTATAGAAGTACAGATATTGTTAAATCTGCTCTGTGTTTTACAGATTATTTCAGTCATCTACAGAGACTGAACTGTATTTTCCAAACAAGAATGTGTATTAGCACTAAAGCAAAATAACTAATGTGCATCAGGGTGCTGGCATTAATATGAATTAGCACAAATTTCCCTTCACCCAAAAGTGAAATGCCAATTGACAAGTTCCCAGAATTGAAATGACTCAGAAAAACGCAGTCTGCAGATTTCTCCAATGTCCTTAAGTATGACTACAACTGGATCCAACCCACTATACATTTGCTATAACAAATTTGACCTGTGGACAGTTTGCAAATCATTGGAAAAGAAGAATAGGACAATGCTACTGATGTTGGCCCAACAAAGGAATTGCTTGTTAAATTAAAATATTACAAATGTTTTACTGCGTGATTACAAGAAGGACTGCATATGCCCGGTACAATTATGTAAATCCCAAGCTCAACCAATTTTGACCCTCTGGGTAATTTTATGTAAACTCAAAACTCTGCAAAGAACATGGGGAGGGAGACCAAGGACCATAGTCAATTCTGGAGAAGTTCTAGGGAGCTACATGCCATTGTTGGGCAAGGTTGCAGGCAAAGGGGGTAGGATCAAAGGCTAAAGGAATAGGATGTAAAACACAGCAGGATACTGTACTTCAAATCCCTTATTGCCAGTAGCTACACTTAAAGAATGGGAGAAAATTGCATAAAAGCCAGGAAACTGCCAAAGGATTGAGGGTTGGCAGTAAGCTGGTAGGTAATATGGCTGTCTGGGGAATCTCAGAACTGAATGAGACCTTAGTAGGCCAGATTTGCTCCTTGGGGCAGAGGGTTCCCATTCCTAGTTTAGAAGAGTTGTAGCATCCTTTACTCCGCTTCCATGCTGGCTTTGTCAACCTATTGAACTGTTTCTATCAGCTTACATTTTGAGCCTCAGAAATATGATAATAGGAGTAGTCATTGGTAGTCGGGCTTGGGCTGTCTGTTGGCAGATGTACAGATGGTGGAGTATGGGCAAAGCTCATTAAATGGTTATTCTTCGGAAAACTTGTAGCTAGTGAAGGCTGGCTGACTTTGGATGACTCCTGCAGATAACCTTCCTGTTCAACCTTTCGACGCATTGTGGAATTCCAGTGGTTCTTGATAGCATTATCAGTTCTGCACAAGAACACAAGCATATGAAAAAAGCACAAATATAATTTTCAGGCATGATTGTGATTAACTGGCAAAGACCAGTAGGTAGCATACACCATTTTCATAATTACATCTGGGAATCTCCTGTGCAATTTCTTGGTACTTCTATCATAATATGCTATGCTGCTCACACAGTCTCAACTTCTCCTAAAGTTCACAACAGACTGATTCATAAAGCTTTCAAAATACACAACTTTTAATGTTCTATTACAGCAGCCCCCAGCCTCTTTATTTGGCAACGAAGGCAAAATAGATAAAACAGGAAAAAAAACATTCTCCCTTCATTCCTTTTTCCAATTCTGAAGCCAGCTTGTATTATTCTTAGCTTAAACGGTATTTTACCTGGAAAAAAATTAACCCGTTCAGTTGTTTCTTGACCCTAGCATGTGACCCAACACGCCTAGCACCAGGTTCTGCAGCTTGTGAAACACATTTGGCCATTCCAAAGGCAACTCTACCATGTTCCACTACTGCATGCAGATAACACAAACTAAACAAGTATCCCAACAACCACCAAGGGCAACAACTTCCATCAATCCTATGCTGGCTACAAATGATGGAAGATGTAGGCCAAAGCATCTGGAGAGTCCCAAGTTGCCCACCCTGATCTAGGGTGCTGAAATCTGGACAAAGAACCAGATACAACAAAGGTCCTCTGAGATTCGTGCCCTATATATGGTGACCCCAACATGCTTGAAATTCAGTTGAGGGCTGATCCTGAGCACTTTGCACCCTCTCATTATATTAAAATCAAACAAAACTCTCCCTGCAAAGGAATCTAAGTCCACATGTTTGCCCCATGGAGCAGAGAGAAGCAAGGAAAAGCTTCACAGCTCTGTGCAAAATGCTACTTCCCTGCTCTCCATGGGCCAATGAATTAGCTCTCTCTCTCATTCGTTCTCTCTCTCTTTTCTTTCTTTCGTGAGAGGCCATAATCAATCTCTTGCATCACTTCCAGTACGGTCTTCAGTTAACTTCAAAAGTCTTAGGCCAGAACCCACATGGCCTTAGAGTTCATGCTCAGTGAAAGGAGGGAGATATGATTGCTTAAGCCTTACTTTTTATATAATAAAGGCAGATTTTACCTTTTTGGCATTATTCTTCAGAGGAATCAGATGTTTAGATGCTTTAATTATCAACATAATCATTTCACTGTTACTCTCAGGGTCTTATGAAATAGCTTTTATAATTTTGCTATCTTATATAAAATACATTTTTATTTACAGCAGATAGTCTGCATGACAAAGTAAAAAGTACTAAGTTACAGATCTGCTTTACTCACTTTTATGGGAATGTGGATAATAGGACACAGATTTCCATACAGGGCTCAGTTAAACCTTATTTCCAACTTATATAAACCATATTATGGTAGAAACGGTAAAGACAAGGCTTCCTTTCTTTATTCTTTTTAACATATGAAATGATCTACTTGATTATATGGGAGTCATGGGATTATCATGGATTCATTCAGCTTTAAATCATCAGGGAAAAGTGTTTGTCCAGTCCGTTTAGAGAGGACAGTCAATAGCTTCTTGGGCTACCTGATCCACTGACTAGATCCAGTGACTTTAGAGAAATTCTTCTAAAAATAGAACTGATAGGTGAGCTGCTGTAAGTTCAAGTCAACAGAGTAATACAACATTCTTCTCTCATCTGGTTTGGGCCTTAGATGCATTAATCAAAAAAAAAAAAGACCTTTCATACACATTGTTCTAAGACTGACAGACGGATGCATCTCACCAATCTCTCCCCCATCTAGCCTTTCTTTTAACTGCTATTCTCCGTCATTACCGTCCAGGCAGCAACTTTGCAATTTCTGCCCATCTGTTTCCCAGCCTTTTGTGTGCTTGGTAAATGATTTTATCTTCCTCTTCTGTCCAGGAGGTTTTTTTAACTTCTGGATTCAAATGGTTGTGCCACCGCTCCCTGCATTGTTTTCCGATCCTTCCCTTTAAGTGCTTAGCGATGACAGACCAGCGCTTGGGGCCGTATTTCTGTACGAGTTCTATCACCTTCAAACAAGCACAAAAATACCACCTCTAATGTTTGCTTTTGCTTCAGAGAAGATAAAGACAGTCAGCTGATGAGACAATTAATTACAAGGCTAAACTGCATCATCACATAAACACATTTCCACTTCTGGAATGGGATTTCCCCAACCTCTCCTCCCTGCCTGTGCACCTAACCCTCCTCCAGAGCAGATTCTGGTGGCATGCAGGGGCAGGAGAAATATGTTCAACCAAAGATGTCTGTTCCATTGGGAAATGGATGCAAGTGGATTTCACCTTCACGCAGGCCTTCATGTAAGAGGCTTTCTATCCAAATATGCAAATACAGTGAAAGAATGCCAGTGGTTTTTAAAATAATTTATATTAAAAGTAGTGATTTAAATATCACAACTGCTGCTCAATCAATTGGAACAACATTTTCAATTATGTGAAAAGTTTTAAATTAATAAAAACAATCAGCTAAACTTTGCAGCCCAAATGAAGATTCTTGAAGCTACTTTCCTTACGAAGTGGTAGTAATCATTTGTCATCATTGCCATTCACAGTACTTTCCCTAAGTCTCCAAAGTGCTTCATATCCTTCATTTAAATTGCTCTTAAAAAGTCCCATGCTCGTATTATAGGCAAATAACATTAAACATGAGAAAGATGCACAATGTGCAAGAAAAAATACATAGGCAGCAGCATAAGGAAAGGAAGTATGCAGCCACCCTAGTAAAACAGCCCCCTAATTAGAAGATGGAGGGACTGATGGTGAAAGAGAGAGGATTCCCTGTGTCCACCTAATCAGATCATGGCTGAGACTGGAGTTGAGACTTCTTGGCTCACAGCTCAGTCTTTCAACTTATACTTGAGCAGGGATTTCAAGCAGTGGTAAGCAGAGGGTAGACTGTCACACATGTTGGAGTTGGAGTATAATTCCCACAAGCCCCTGGCAGCATGAGCAATGCAGAAAGGTAAGACTTCTAAACCCACCCCAATTTAAAATACTTCTGAGTTACAAAAGAGTAATTAAGGGCTGTAAATAAAATGCTGTAGAACTGAATATTAATAAAAGCAAATACTGGATAACATTCAGTGTAATTTCTATCTGGAGTATGGTCATTGGAATGATTTGATCTTATGTTACTCTAACCTTAATCTTATTGGTCAATGAATAATATGTTAGATTTTACACATTATTTCAATACATATGAAAGTATAGAGGCTAAGCACAACATTTAAAGCTGATGAAACAATTAGAGTAAAATCACTTTGTCATTTACCCGTTGATCTTCTTCTTTAGTCCATGGGCCTTTGATAAGTTCTGGATTTAGTACCTTCTGCCACCGATGCTGGCACTGTACATCTGTCCGATTCTAACAGTACACAAAAAATGAAAGCCCCAACAAATTATATACAAGCAATGCACAATTATATATGCATGAACCATTGCAAATGTTGTTATGTGAAGTGCCACAGACATAATTCTGAGTCACAATATTGTAGTATGACGTAAGAGAATGAAATTTGTAGACCTGGAGTAGGAAAAGCCTTAAGGAAAGTAATACTGGGCCGGAGGGGGGTGGTGGGACTGCCAGGACAGCCCTGGAACAAATCAGTTTGACAAATGAGGGTACTGAAACAGAGTGTATGGGAAGCAAGGTGGCAGAGATGAAAAGGAAATAGTAAGAATTATTTCATTGTCTGGAGAGGTCCACCCCTGGTTTGCAGAGTTGGATTACACTAATGGAACTTAAATCCAACTGCAATCCTATTCATTTCAGTGGGTCTACTTTAAGGAGGACTCACACTGGATTCTATCCATGATTTCAATACATATGAATGGAGGCTGGCTGGACAGAGTTTTTAATGCTAGTGAAGTGAGAGAACCCCCTCCACCTGCCAAGAGAACTGGGTGGGTGTGGTAAAAGAGATGAGTGGCCAGAAAGAAGAGTTAAAGCCAGGTGCCAGGTGATGGGGGAATGGACAGAGAGGAAGAAACATGGTTAAACACGGAGATTAAAAGGGTAGGTCAGTTCCTGGTCCACAATGAACCCCATTTCAAAAAGATCCCAGCAATATGAAGAGCAGCCTATAAACATCAGTGAGGAAAATCAATGATTTTAGTATGGCTGGGATGGGGCACAAATGGGGTCATCCTTCAGAAAAACCCTAAAATGGAGTGGTAAAACCCAAAATGCAAGAAAATGGTATGGTAGGAAACTTTTGCTCCAGATGTTTGCTGTACGGTCACTTGCCTTCTCTGTATTTATTTATTATATTCCTACACTGCCCATTAGCCTGAAGGCTCCCTGGGCAGTTCACAGAATTATTT